TTATAAATGATATCCTAAAAAATCAAAAGGAGAAAAGGTATTTTAGGATCATTTTCTTTGGACACTGTGAGTTAAGTACTTTATGATTTTATTTTTATTTATAAATTTTGCAAAATATTGGCATGACTTGGCATTATAATTTAGAATGAGATAAAAATAATAAGAATTGCATGCTACTATATACTCCATGAAACATTCAACTGATAATTTTTGAGTAGGTAATCTAAATAAACACTGTTTCAATAAATCTCAATAAACCCTGCATTCAGAAAAAGAAGTTTTAGCCTTCAGTAATTCAGTAATTCGGTATTTATCTTTTTTGCTCAGGACTTCCTGTTCTCTCTTTGGGCCTGTCCTATCCCCACTCTCGGAAACCTACATTTTAGCTTTTCCATGTTGATGCATGCTATTCACTGGGCATAGGCATTGGAGTGGCTCACTCTAAGGAATGTCAAAAATAGAATTGCTAGCCATAAAGAGGAAAATACATTTAGACTTGTTTGCAGAATCTGTGTGTATTACACACATAATTACTTTTGAGCCTCTAATAACTTTTTAGGTTAGCAAAGAGCTGGGCACGAGAATCATTGTCAAATTAAATGATTGGATGGGCAGAAGAATCGTTGTCAAATTAAATGAAAGAATGATTCTCAAATTACTGCTGCAAGTAATTTGTAAATTAGCAGTAAATTAGTACAGGGGGCTTGAGAGATAGCACAATGGGTAGGGCACTCACCTTGCACATGGCCGACTTGGGTTTAATCTCTGCCATCCCATTTGGTCCCCTGAGCCCTCCCAGGAGTGAATCCTGAGTACAGAGCCAGAAGTAATTCCTGAGTAACGCTGAGGGTGGAGATATATATATATATATATATATATATATATATATATATATATATATATATGGGCTGGAGCGATAGCACAGTGGGTAGGTCGTTTGCCTTGCACACAGCTGACCAGGCCGACCCAGGTTAGATTCCTCCGCCCCTCTCGGAGAGCCCGGCAAGCTATCGAGAGTGTCTCACCCGCCCAGCAAAGTCTGGCAAGCTACCCCTGATGTATTCGATATGCCAAACACAGTAACTAGTGTCACAATGGAGAGGTTACTGGGCCTGCTCAAGCAAAATCAATGAACAAACGGAGGGCAATGACAGTGACAATTATATATATATATATATATATATGTATACAAACACACAGATATAGATATATAGATATTTAAAGGGTTGGACACTTGCCTTGCACATGGCCTAACTATATTCAATAATCAGCACTCCATTTGGTTCCCCAAGCCCTCTCAGAAGTTATACCTTAATGAAGAGCCAAGAGGAAACACTGAGCACCTGCAATTGTGAACAAAAGTATTTTTTAAAGTTGCTTTAGAAAGACACAGGCAGGATGGATGTCAATTCATTCTCTGCTTTCCCCTTTCTTTACCTTAGGAATCACTTGTTACATTTTCTCTTGTTAGTAATTTCTATCGAAATGACCTTTCATTAGAAAATTATGACTTTTAGGTGTGCTTCATGAAACATCAACATGTGTACCTACTACACTAAGTTCACCATTTTCAAAGTCCAATTTCTTCTTCTCCATCCAGTTGACTGTTTTAACCTGATTTTCCTTAACCTGATTTTCCTTCTCTTCTAGTTTGGTCTTAGAGTGAATAGTCATTCACCTTCTCTTCTCTTCTAGTTTGGTCTTAAAACCTAAAAGTTTTCTTTTTATCATATTTAGTTCATTTCGTTTGCTTATTTACATAACACCTGTTGGAAATCATGTCTTTGTTTTATTTCATTAAGCAAAACAGATGAGGCTTTTGACTGTTTTTGTTTTTTATAATTCTAAGGTAAAAGTTGATTCAGGAAAAGTTGATGTTTAGTGCTACCAAGTGCTAACAACACTAGCTCACTTTTCATTCTTGACACCCTTAGAGGGATCTTCCTAGAAATATCCTAGTTTGCAATCTCATTCTCTCCCCTCAGGCTTTCTAGTGGCAAAGAAACTTGATAGCTAATCTGCCAAAGCAAACAAAGTTTAGGACTAGGGAAATCAACAGATAACTAAAAACTTCCTCCTTGATAACCTGTGAAGATTGTCCATTCTGTAGATTAGTTTGTACTTTAATGCTGAAGAAGTGCTAAGTCAACACCCAAAAGGAGAGAGAGAACAAAAGGGAATGCCCTGCCACAGAGGCAGGGTGGGATGGGGGGTGGGAGGCATGCTGGCACCCGTGGTGGTGGAGGATGGGCGCTGGTGGAGGGATGGGTACTTGATCATTGTATAACTGAAACCCAAGCACAAAAATTTGTAAGTCTACAACTGTACCTCATGGTGTTTCACTAATAAAAATTTTTAAAAAAGGAAGTGCTGGGGCTGGAGCGATAGCACAGCGGGTAGGGCGTTTGCCTTGCACGCGGCTGACCCGGGTTCGATTCCCAGCATCCCATATCGTCCCCTGAGCACTACCAGGAGTAACTCCTTGAGTGCAGAACTAGGAGTAACCCCTGTGCATCGCCAGGTGTGACCCAAAAAGAAAAAAAAAGAAGTGCTAAGAAGGGAAAAGTAATTTAAAGCTCTATCAGGAAGGCCACTACTGGGAAGTGATAGAGGCTGACTTTGGGCACTGCTTTTAGTTTGTTTGGTTTTTTGTTGTTTAAACCTTTCTGTGTAATTTCTGAGAGGAGTGGACGACCATGAAGCGGAACACATCTGGCATTCTGGAGAACATGGAAATGAGAGTGGAAGTTTATTGCTGGAGAGATCAGCTAAGAGATTAAGAGAGATCTTTTGAGGGGCTAAACAGTACAGAGGTTAGTGTGCTTTCCTTGCATGCAGCTGATCCAGCATCATTCCTCAGTACCTGATATGGTCCTTCAAGCCCTGCCAAGAGTGATCCCTAAGTGCAGGGGCAGAACTAAACCCTGAGCACCACCGAGTGTGGTCCCAAAACCAAGAGAGACAGATGGAGAGAGACACATACACAGACAGATACAGAGAGACATAAAGAGATCTTTTGACTCAGGGAATTGATACCAAGCTGGCATTGTTATTTGAGTAAGAACCTCGCCAACGAGTTTGTATTCTATAAAGGTTAGTGTAGCAGTCTTATGTAAAGACAAAGAATCTGGAAAGTGATGGTAATCTCTATCAAGAGGTAGGTAGTTAGGAAATACTAATGTTATAGCTGCATAGGGACAAGTGGGGAAAGACAGAGAGATTAGAAAGAACTGCCCCAGGGCGTCAGAGACAAAGTGCAGCTGGTAAGGCACTTGCATTACATGTGGCTAACAGTTTCGATCCCTGACACTCCATATGGTCCCCAATCCAGCCAGCAGTGTCCCTGAACCCAGAGCCAAAAGAAAGCCTTGAGCACAGTTGGGTATGGCCTAAAAATACAAGAAAAAGAAATAGATAAAAACAATGGTTCCAGAAGAAAAATTCTTAACAAAGATCCAAGAAGTGCCCAGGATACACTTCTAAGATATAAAAGATAAATCTTTAAAATATCCTGGTCTTTTCCCAGCACCTTTCTCTCAAGTCCAATGCAAATAGCTCACTCATCTTCCTAGAAAAGACATTTATAAAAAAGAAGTTTTGAGCCAGAGGAATTGTACAGTGGGTAAGGCATTTACCTCGCAAGCAGCTGACCCGGGGTTTGAGTCCTGGCATACCATATTGTCCCATCAGTACTGAGTAATTTGTGAGTGCAGAGGCAGGAGTAACCCCTGAGCACTGCTGAGTATGGCCTCAAATTTTTTTTTAAAAAAGAGTTTCTCCATGTTTCCTGGACTTCCTTCTTAAAGATACCTCATTCCCTAGCTTCCCTACTTCTCCTACCCTTTCCTCAAAGAGTCTCAGGTCCTCTGTTCTCAATCTTGACTGCCTAAGGACAAGAATCTGAGTTTGCTCTAACAGAGGTTCTAGATGAAAGAGAGAGAAGGTCTCAGCTGGAGTGGTAATAGTGGGAAGAGGGTGATGAACCTTAAATGTCATATCTCAAAATCTACACTTGGGGCAATTGCCTTGCATGCAGCCGGCCAAGATTTGATTCCTGGCGCTAAGATCATATTCATATGGTCCCCCGAGCCGGGGTCTTGCCAGCAGGGGTCCCTGAGCCAGGAGTAAAATTCAAGCACTGCAGGATGTGGACCAAAAACCAAACAGCAACAATAATAAAATTGTATGTTTCTTTTAAAATTAGTTCTTTTCAATTTTAATATTATTGGAGGGTGCTCATATTACCAAGTGCTGCTCAGTGGACATGGGTTCTCTCCCAGTGATACTTGATTAACCAAGCTGGAAGTGAGTAGCAGGACCCAAAGATGCAATGCTGCTCAAGACCTACAATGACAGAGATGACCAGGGCTACCACTAGTCAGGGGCCTCTAGGGCTATACCTAACAATGCTTGAAAGGCTCCGTGGAGCCAAAAATAGAACTTAAGTCTAGTACTTATACAATCTCCCCAGCTTCAGTTCTTTTTTGGGGATTCCCCCAAGATTACACCCAGCAATGCTCAGTGCTTGTCAACAAAAGTTTGAGAAAGGAAAAAAGGAGGATACAGGGGTATAGAGAAAAGGGCAATAAAAGTTTCTCCTAATTTTAATGAGTGCGGTGATAACAGTTATTGTTTAGTAATCCCTACTAATAATTCACAAAACTTGACAATATTCTGTTCCATGGTATTCTATTCCAGTAACTGCATCAAAGTAATAGCTTTAGGTACCAATCCTTAACTCAAGAATGGGTATTCTAAAATACAGGCTAGCTACTTAGTGAAATTTCATAAACTGAGAAATGAGCACTTGAGCTTTTAGTTTTATTGTGGTAATATTGGTTTATGAGTATAAATGTTGTTATAATTTATGAGTATAATGTGACACTGCACACCTACCACTGAAGTGTCAATATCCCTCCATCAGTTTATTACCTTGAAATTCTGTTTGACTAATATTTTTCAAACTGGTTGATTTTGATGCACAACAAAGCACAAACTGATTTGATAACATGAGTGGGTTTATTTAGATTCAAGTGCAAACTTAAAAACAAGAACAGAGCTTTTCATCAAGAATAAGCACAAAAAGTTTAGGACAATTCTATAATCATGCATTTTAACAGGAAGAAAAATGTGACTACATTTTAATTTGTAACTACATTTGAAAAATTAAAATATCCCTAAATTCCAAATACCACAAATCTTTATCCTGTTCTCATCTTGCTACCTCATAACAACTTTTCTCCTAAGGATTCCTATCAGGAAAATATAGGCAAGAAATTACTAATCAGTTCCTATGATCAAAGAAATATTAATTTCAGCATCTGACTTTTTGAATCACTCACCTCTAGTTCATTTCTGAAAAGACATAATTTTACTGTCACTCTAGGAAAAAAATAATGAATACAAATATCGAGGCTGTAAGATTTCATGTAATTAAAGCAAAAATCACAAGTATTTAACTTAGAAATGTACATAATTATAGCAAAATCTTAAAGCACAATTTTATTTGATGGTTGACATAATTATAACAATGAACGATTTAAAGGTATAAAAATGTAAGATCAAAATCTTTAGGCTCAAATGCTTGAAAAGTCACTATGAGTATGGAAATATCTGTGTACATAAACATGTATAGTTTTAGATGAAAATTCGGGAATGGGGTAAGTGGCATCTCCCTGGTCCCTTAATAATATTTGGATTTTCATGAAGAATTAGCAGCACCCAACCTTAAGTGTTGTAAGTACATGTGTCAAAAGGACCTATACAACATCTTAGTTGGCAGTGTTCTAGCTTTTGGGAGATGGGTTTGTGGGGGAGCAAATATAATCTGTGTATGAATGGACTCACATAAAATCACCATTCCAAATTGGGGGCGGGGAAACCACATACTGAAAGATTCTATGGAAAGCATCCTTAAAAGATCAAGAGTGGGCCAGAAACAGTAGAAACTGAATAGTAGTCTACTTGGTAATAAGGTTTTTCACTCTTCAAAGGCAAGTTGGGAAGAATGAGAATACATACATGTAACTTCAGCAAGAACTTGCCACACAGTACAATGTGAACACTGAACAGAAAACATTAAAAAAAACCTTCATTCTTGACTCTAATAATACCAGATGATTTTTCTTTTATCACCATATACACAACATTTAAATATTTCCTCTATAAATATTTTAGAGCAAAAAGAATTCATTTTGTTGCAGTGGTGGCCCACATCTGTACAAAGCAATGTAATAAGCAACATATATATATATGTAAGCAACATATTTATATATGTATATATAAAATGATTAAGAAAAAAGTGCAAAGAATAACAGTATTAAGATTTTTTTTTGCTTTTTACAGTAACTATGGTTCAAGTGTGAATACTATCAGGGACATGTAATCCCAGATTTTAATTAAAAGTTTGAAAAAGAAGCCCACACACCAGGTTACTGCACAAATAATTAGTCCCTTGAGTAACTTCCCTTCTCCATATCTATTATTTCCAGTTTCTATACTCTTCACAAGTAGGAAAAAAGTAGTAACAGTGTTTTTTCCCTTCAACTTAGCAAAACGCATCCAGTTAATTACTCATAGATTCAAACAAGGTATTGGAAACACATTCATTATTACCCGCATTGCTAAAATTAAAGCAAAATGAAAGGCTTTCTGAAATAGAAACTACTGCTTCAGAATAACATGAGCAACAGCCATAAATTACAAGTGCAATTTAACAGAAAAATATTATAAAATCCATCCCTGTTGTCAAAGATAAATTCAGAAGCTAAATCTCTTTCCCAGGTTTAGTGCTGCACAATGATCATGCTTTTATATGCTTAGGATTTGACAACCTTTATTGAAGAGAAAAATGCTCCCTCTCAAAATTGAAATAACTTTCTATCATTTTGCTCTTAGTGGCAATCTTGTTTTGAAAAACAGAGAAGGGCAGTTTTCAGCAGTTTGAAAAAAATGTACTTTCCCCTCTCAAGTCATTCAACAATTACATTCACGGACTTTAGACATTAAAGCTTTAAAAGAGCAGCCCAATTTCCCTTGAAATCTATTGCTAAATAATTTGAGTGGGTTTATTTTATTTCATTTGTATTCCAGGCACCATAATTATTCACGGAAGCATGATGATTCTAGTTCTAACAAATGTAACAGTTATGAATCCTAAAATGGTTTCCAAGGTATTACTTGATTTTATATATTGTATCAAGATTGAATTTTCCCTTCAAGAGAAAGGGTTGGAAGAGAATTGTAAAATCCTGCAGCAGTCATGTTGTGGGTAGTATTAATACATGTTTTTTGCCATGCTTTATATTTAAGCTTCTTTTGAACTAGGAAGACAGTAGCCATTGGATGCTGCAAATTTCTTCAAACTACATTCTACTCCAACTCAAGTTTATTGTGGTCAAAGTGAAATATGTTTATGAAAACAAGTATCTCTAGGCTAATTTAAAAAAACAAAATTTTTGCCCTAAGAATTAATAACAGCTAAAGGGCAAGAGTTTTTTCCAATTTCAGCTTCACTATAACTACACAAAACTAAGTGAAAGGGACTCAATGACTAGTCCCCTTTTGGTTGTTTTTTTTCTTTCTTTTTTGATCCTGTGTCTTAAGAATGATTTACCTTACATTCTAACAGACAGCTCAACAAATGCTTTAAAATCTAGAACTGAAAAACCACCTCCTTCCTAAGTGTAAATCATATAGCAGCATTTTATTTGCCCCCATACATGCGCTCAATGTCTTTGAGGTAATGGTTCTTTAGTTCTTTCCTTTTCAGTTTGAAAGCATCAGTGACCAAACCAGTTTCAGGGGTCCAAGGCTCAGGGCTTAGGCGAACCTTGATTGGAATTTCAAATCGCTCCAACTTCACTGAAATGACAAGGGAAAGGTGGGAGAAAATGAAGAGAGGGAGGGGGAAAAAGTCGAAAGAAGAGGAGACAGAAAAACAAAACATGAATTTTTGTAGGGCTGAACATGGATTCAGAGATAAGTACAAATAACCCAAAGTAACCGTTCTTTATTGTTAATAGGTTATAGCTCATCTATGCAGGTGCCTGACATTAACTACATAGGCAACACACGGCAAGAAATGAGCCTGTATGTTCCTATATTTGGTCTTCAGATCTTATTCAAAGCAAAAAGACCACATTAGCGGCTACATTTTGAGAACTCCCAAATATTATCTAGTACTGGAAGCTATAGGATACATTAAAAAGTCATGCAGTTCCCCACAAACAGAAGAAATTAATTGCCAACCTGCGCTCAAGATTAAGGGCAGTTAAATAAACATAACAAAAATCTACATAGAGCATTTTATTCAAAACATTATAAAGTATAACCTGCAGGTGGCAGCACATGTCAATTTTTCTGGAAGACCTATCGCCTGCCAAAACAATTATTTGACATTCTTACGAACATACATTCTTACAAATTTAAGTATGGTTTCTCACACTGGCATTCAAAACATAAGGAAAGCCCATTAAGAGCTTTGTATGATTTTTTGACAGATTTAAATGAATATCAGAACCAAGACTATTTTATACTTTTTTTCATAAATATCAGATAAATTTGAAACAAAATGTTAACAAAATCAATCCTTTATGGCACAAGCAAGTTTGTGATTTATGCATTCAGCTCATGATTTGTTCAAACACATGTCTCACTACAAATAGAGGCACATAATGAAGGCGTAGGAAATCCAGGATTTTTATTCCATTTTCTACTTGACAGTACTTGACTCAAACCATTATCGCTTTTATACAGTTAAATATGCAGTGACAAATTGATGAATTCACATTCTAATCCATTAGTACCTTCAGAGAACTACTAAGAATAATGGCCCAATGACTAAAAGACTTTGAAATACTGCACTTACAGGGTGAGGGGGGCAGGGATCGAGATTTCTATCAAAGAAAATTCTGGTACCCCACCGACTTTATTATAAAAGTACATTATATCATTAGTACCACAAGTAACCATCTTGAAGAAAATTACTCTAACCCATTATCTTTACGGTAAGATTATAATTAACCTCAATCTGATTATGTGCATAACCAACTGTTTTTTAAAACTTCCCAGTGTCCACAGTTAACAGCAAAAATTCTCTTAGGAAAAACAATGTTTTCCATTTCAGTGTATTAACTAAAACTACAAACTAGTTTTAAGTCAAAATGGAATCTATTAAATAGGTAATTTCATAAGTAGATGGAAATAATAGTGCTTACTGAGGAAAATAGGTGTGCACATATATCTCTAATAGAAGTATAGAATAGTGTGTCTTCATTTAATTCCCCTGGTAAGTTCCTGAAAGTTAGGATTCTGTATAACATATCATTCCATGTCATCTGAGATTCTTTTTTATTCGTCAACATGGTAATAAAATGATATTTTAAAAATTATGTTATTCAAATGAATGCTGAAAACAGTTTTTCTGGTGCAAGAAGGAATTATTGGATTACATAGGCTGGAGAGATAGTACAGCAGATATTTGCCTTGCCCAGCTGTGCCAGATTCCATCCCTAGCACCCTACATGGTTCCCCTGAGCCTGTCAGGAGTGATCCCTGAGTGCAGAGCCAAGAGTTAAGGCTCTGCACTCAGTACAGCTGGGTATGGCCCCAAAACATATGTGTGTGTATTTGACTCAAAAATTAAATTTTTAGGAATATATTCATTTTTGTAATATTTGGTTTGGGGGCCTCATCCAAAGGTGCTCTAGGTTTACTCTTGGCTCTATAATCAGGGATTACTCCTGGCAGTGCTACGGATCCAACCTGGGACAGCTGCATGCAAAGCAAGTGCCCTGCACACTGCACTAACTCTCCGCCCTTATAACCTTTATTACATATTTCATATGTAATTGTACTAAATATTTTACTTATATGAGAAATAAACACGTTTTATATCAGTAGGGAGGAATGGGGAGCTCGCCTAAATAGGGCCTTATGTAAATATTCAGAAACTGAAGCACTTTTAGCTACACAAAAGATAATGCAATTCTTTATCTCCTGACTTAGAACACAGTTGCTGTTGCTGATATTAGGCCTACAGACTAGCATATAATCTCACCATCCAAAATGACCATCAAGTGACTTTTTCTACTTCCCTCTTTACAAATGTATGTATTATCCAATATTTTATAATGTTTATAGGTGATGCACAATAAAGAAAAGATACCTCCCCTTTTGTTTTGTTTTTGGTTTGGGATCAAACCCAGCAATGCTTCCGGGACCATGCAGTGCCAGGGATCTATCCTGTGGCTCCTGCACACAAAGCAAATGCTCCAGTCTTTGATCCTTATCCCTGTACAATATTTTCATTATTTTTACGTAGGAAAACATCAGGTTAAAATGGGGTTAAGAGGTTCCAATTAAACATGAAGAGCACACAATTAAAGTTCATTGATTTCAATGAAAGAAAGCTCCCCGTGAAAATATTTCAAATAGCTTAATTTTTTTAATTAAGAAGGTTTTATTCACAAGAAAAATACACTGAGATGAGAGGAAGAATACTACTGTATGAAGAACATTAAACAAATTTTATAGACAAAAATCAAACGGGCTAGTGGTAACTGATTGGGAAATGATGTGGATACCAACAGATTCATTGCACCACAATCTTTCCAAATGGAATTTTAGCATCTTATTCCCAAATATTAAGAGGCAAGAATCAGCAGATATAATGAAGTGATGACCAACATGAACAGAAAATGGAACTTGGAGGAAACAATGAATAAAAAAACTGAAAAAGAATTGTCCTTGAACAGCCTTGGAGATCTGATACCACATGATACTTTTTTCATGGCTATATCCATATAGAGACACTTACAAAGGAAATGGAGAGGACAGTAAAGAGCTCTTGGAAATTAAAATTTTGATTACAGACAATGAAAATCCAGTAGACAGGAGAGGTAACAATGTTGCAACAAACAAGACAGGAAACAAAGGGAAAATAGAGAATAAAATTAGAGGATGGTAGTAAAGTGCCCAACGAAATAAAAACTCACCCCAGGTAAAAACAAAAGCACAGAGAGAACCAGAAAGGAAAAACTGTTAAAGGACAGCATAAGATGAACAGATGCTTCTCAGAATTGACAACCAGAACCAGAGCTCTCTATTGAAAATCTCCCACCCCAGGTTAAATATGAATACTAATAAATATTAGATTCCTACCACATCAGGCCAATAATTAATGAACAGTCAGAACATAGAGGGACCATTCTGAATACAGCCTAGATTGTCACTGAACAGGGATGTTGTATCATGTGATACAGAACTAAGGGCAAGGGGTTATCATACATTGTTTTGAATACTCAAGGTAAATGTTCTATTATCCCTGGTGTGCATGGCCTCCCCTACCAGTACCATTATATGTGGATCTGGTTGTCCCTGCACAAGGCCAGGTTGACTCCTAGCACCACTGGATGTGAGTAGCACCATATCACCAGGCCCAAACACTAATTTATCAGGCTTGCACCCAGACCTAAATGGCAGTGGGCGTGGCTCCCAGCTCAACACTGTCCAGAACCATTCACCCCTCAAAACTTAGATAAGCTATACTATTTTATGATATTTACAGATTTTTTCCAAGATAGAAATTTGCCATGCAGTTATGTATTGCTTAACAATAAAGATACATTCTATGAAATGCCTCATCATAAGATCTTATTGTGTCAAGTGTTCAAGTACAACTACAAAAGTCTACATGGTACTGCCTATCATATTCCAGAGCAACAGAGCATAGCTACAGAGCATCAGGAACTATTGGAAACAACATACGTGCATCATTAACCAAAACAGTCTTTAACCACACATGATTGTATATGCTCACGAGCAGTGTTTACCTCTGTCTTTTGCTAGTAAAATAAGCATACACATTATCTTCAAGAGCTGAATGCATAAGACATTATCATTAAATGAATTTTGGGGTCTGTAACAGAAAATGTATTTCTTACTGGCATTTGCAGCTTCTCTAATTTCTTTCAGTATTTCAGCTTCCATGGCAGGGTTATTGCAGATATCAACCCAAGTTCCTTCCACCCCTTTCTGTTGTGCCAAAAGTGTCAGCCTTTTCTGATTAGGAACCACAAAACTGATCACATACGACTGGTCACTAAAATATTAAGGAATAAAACAAGTGAATTTGAGAACAATCATTCATAAGTTATTCAATTAACTTATTCCAAAATACATTTAAATTATTCATAAAATACATTTCACTTAATTGGTTATCTCATGAAGAAGAAAGTAAGTTCATAGAATTGGCATAAAGATAGATATATAAACAGAAGAGAGATCTGACAGAAACTCTTGAATAAACAGTCAACAGATCTCTTTTACAATTTTTAATTTAAAGTGCATAAAACATAAATACATTAACACGTTTTAAATGGCAATGCAATCTTGGCCAAAAATAAACAATGCAATGAATTGCAAAAAAAAAAAGCGGTAGGGCGTTTGCCTTGCACACAGCCAACATGGCTGACCCGAATTTGATTCCTCCGCCCCCTCGGAGAGCCCGGCAAGCTACCGAGAGTATCTTGCCCGCACGGCAGAGCCTGGCAAGCTCCCCGTGACATATTCGATATGCCAAACACAGTAACAACAAAGTCTCCAATGGAGACGCTACTGGGCCCGTTCGAGCAAATCGATGATCAACGGGAGGGCCTTTACTTTACTTTTACTTACCGTACATCAGATAAAGGGCTAATATCCAAGATAAATAAGGCAGTCACAAAACTCAACAACAACAAAAGAAAAAAGTAAGACCATCAAAAAATGGGGAAAGAAGATGAATAGACACTTCTCTAAGGAAGCTACCTTGATCCCCAGCAGGAGTGACCCTAAGCACCATGAGGTATGACCCCAAAACAAAAAAAATGATTTAAAAAATATAAAATAAGATTAGGCCTTCTCTTGCAAACCACAGGACCCAAAAGGAGAGAGAGAGAACAAAAGGGAATGCCCTGCCACAGAGGCAGGGGGGAATGGGGGGGGGACTGGGGATGGGAGGGATGCTGGGACCCGTGATGGTGGAGGATGGGCTCTGGTGGAGGGATGGGTACTTGATCATTGTATAACTGAAACCCAAGCACAAAAATTTGTAAGTCTATAACTGTACCTCATGGTGTTTCACAAATAAATAAATAAATAAATAAATAAAATATAAGTCTACAGCCAGAAGCCCCTACCCCCCAAAAAAAATAAGATTAGGCTTGCTCTTCAAGTCCATGTTCTCCCTTGAACATACATATATCAGCATTTTTTCCACTCTTGAGAAGTTCATGTTCTCTCTTAAACATATATTCTACCCTTTTCTATCCCCTTACATATAAGTAAATTTTGTTCAATAAACTATTATGCATTACTTAAAAAAATAAAATAAAAATACAGCTTCCACATGATCTAGAGAATCCACTTCTTTGTATCAATCCCAAGAACACAAAAATTAATTTGAAAAGATGTACACATGCTTATGTTCACTCAGTGTTTAGTATGTTTAGTTTGGAAACAACCCAAATGGCAGATAAACGGAAAAAGAAGCTGTGGCATACACAGACAATGGAATATCATATAGCTACAAGAAAAGAAAAAATCTTGCAGTTCGCTGAAACTTGGATGGAACCAGAAGGCATCAAACTAAGCAAAGTAGTTTATATAGAAGAAGGGTAAACACCAGATGATCTCATTCATCTATGGTATATGAAGAAACAATAAAAATAGTACTGTACAATGACAAACTCTTGGCGCTAATTATAGAAATGAGATTACGAAGTGGTGGTGGTGGTGGTGATGGTGGTGGTGGTGGTGTGGTGGTAGTGGTAAGGGGAGAATAGAAGTGATGGCATGTGGCAAATGAAGGGTCTTGGGTACTTTGGTGACGGTGAGCTCTGGCAACTATACATTAAGACCATGAATTTTAACACTACTGTAAACATGTTAGCTTAGCTACACATAATAAAATATATCTTTTTTATGTCTGAATTTTTAAAAATTGAAACACTCTGAGATACAAAATTGCAAAGTTGTTCACAATTGCCTTTCAGTCGTATAGTGTTCCAACATCCATCCTTTCACCGGTTTACATTTCCCACTATAAATATTTAAAAAACACAAATGCAACTTTTTAGGGGGTTCCCCACCCAGCGCTTCTCAGGGATTATTCCTGACAGGCTTGGGGGACCATATGGAATGCTGATGATTGACCCTGGGTCAGCCACGTGCAAGGCAAATGCCCTGCCCACTGAATAGATGCAACATTTAAATGCTACCTTTTGGCAAAAGCACAGATGTTATCAATAAGAGGACAGTTCTTCAGTGCTGCTTCTACTTTCCCAAGAGACACATATTCTCCAGCTTGCAGCTTCACTAGATCTTTCTTCCGATCTGTAATTAATGCAATGCCATTATCCACAGGTTATTTCAATAATTCTAATTGAAAATAGAGTAATTCTATAAAATAGAATAATTATAGAATAATTCTAAATAAAATAATTCAAATTTTCTCTGAATATCACTACCTTAACATTTATCTACAAAATTACTTCTAGGGTCTTGTTATCTACAATATTTGCCTATACACATTAGTTAGAAATAAATCGCCCCACTAAAGAAGTTCTAGCTATTCCAGAGGATACTCCTGATCACAGATGCAGAAACAGCAGCTAAGCACAGCCAGGCCAAACATGGACCCAAAACAAATAGGCAAAAAAAGAAATTCTAGCTAAAATGTAGCACAAAACTCTAATATATTACCACAATCTTATATAATACAATGACACTGATATAAGAAACAAGAAATTTGGAACATTTCAGCTGAAAGATAATTCTGTCCATTATTATCAATGTGATCCTGGGCATACCAGTTAAGTCTCCAACACTTATTCTTCATGATTAATTATGCCTATACTTTGTAAAGGAATAATGTCTGGCATATAAAGAGCACATTTAATAAATGACAAGCCCCTTTTCCCTGTTTAACATCATCTAGTTTAAATGACAAAGCTCTGGACAATTTGAATAATCATCAGATTCACTTACAATGCCAGGAGTGCCCACACAGAAACCCACTCTATTGGCCCAGAGACAACCTGAGATGCCACTGCAATTATGGATTAAGAAATAGAGGAGGGAGTGTTTACTGGTTCAAAATTTAACTATGGGTTCCTGGAAATTTCCCTGAGCAGATCAAATTCCTAGATAAGGGTCTATTACTCTCATCCCATCCCCATGAAATATTTATTTTCAGGTCGGACAGGTGTCCAGAGATAGATTTAAAAAATGTACCCTTGGAGGGGCTGGAGCGATAGCACAGAGGGTAGGGCGTTTGCCTTGCACACAGCCAACATGGCCAACACAGGTTCGATTCCCAGCATCCCATATGGTCCCCCGAGCACCACCAGGAGTGATTCCTGAGTGCATGAGCCAGGAGTAACCCCTGAGCATCACTGGGTGTGACCCCCCAAAAAATTTTAAAAATGTACCCTTGGAGATGTCACTGATGGAAAAAAGGGCCTGACTAATGGAAAAAGAATCATAGCCTCATTAAAGGTACAGTGACTTCAAAAGCTGTCTTCAAAAGTGGCATAAAGGCTACTTTTTAAAGTCACTGTTAAATAATTTAGAGAGGCTGGAGGGATCATACAATGCATAGGGTCCTTGAGTTTCATGTAGCTGATCTGATTCAGATCCCTGGCACCCTCTATGGTTTCCCAAGCCGGTACAAAGTGATCCCTGAGCACAGAATCAGGAGTAGGCTATGCGTACTGCCAGGTTTGCTCTCTCCACAAAAAACCAACAAAATAAAGTATATTTTTCAGAGGTGCCACACCCAACAGGGTTCAGTTGACCATGCAGTGCCAGGATTGAACTTGTGGGTCCCACACGTGAAGTATGCACCGAACCCATTGAGTCATCTCACCAGCCTCTGATGTCACTACTTTTTATTTTCAGTCATTGTGATTTACAATACTGACAATGAGAGCACTTCATGCTACAATTTTCCAACATCCCCTCTCCTACTGGTGTTTGCTTCTCTCCACCACTGTCTTAAAGCTTCCCACATTGAACCTCCCTCTTCTTTGCTGTCTCCTCTCCAGAGTAAGCTTAGTTCTGTAGGCCAGCTCTCAGATTCTGTTGCCTGTTATTCCCTTAGTATGCTTCTTTATATGCCCCATGAGAGAGATCAGTATGTATCTGTCCCTCTCTTGACTGACTTCACTCAGTATATCCTCTAGCTCTCTTCCACGTAGTTGCAAATTGTATCTTGGCATCGCTTTTTGATTGTTTGATATGGGGCCACACTCAGCAGTGATTAGGGCTTACTCCTGGTTCTGTGCTCAGAGATCACTCCTGGTGGGACTTGGGGGACCACAGGTATTGCTAGGGGTCCAAAGGTCAGCTGTGTACAATGCAAGCACCTTAGTCCTTTTCCTATCTGTCCAACGAGGGCAATACCAAAGCAACTGACAGTTTCTCAATGACTAATGTAAAGGACTAGTATCTATTTTTCTATCTATATTTTGTATGATTCAGGGCTAGTAATACAAATGACTGGGAAAATGTAATAGACACAGTTTTTAGTGGAGGAGAATAATAAGAATGAGTATGTTATGGTAGATGCTTATACAGAAACATAGGTAGCTGAGGTTGAAAGCGTGTCTGAGCAATTATTTTTAATACTAGTCTGCTAATTTTATGCCTGTTCTGCCCATATATATTGTTACTACTTTTACCACTAATACAAAGACATAGGTTCTGTTCTTCTCTAAACATTTAATCATAACATCAATTCTATCAGGTTAGCATTTTACAGATTGAGAAACTCACTCAGGCTAAGTCAGATAACTTTCCCAAAGATTAAATTTATAGAATTGTGGATCCTGTGACTGATTCAACTAACATTATCTTAAGCATATGCTGGAGCTGCAAAAACAAAATAAAAACATAAAAGGAATATACTGACCTATAATCTGTAAACAGCCATCAGGATGGAATTCTCCAATATCACCAGTGCAAAACCACCTTTGTCCATTTTCATCCACAGAATAATCCTCTGCTGTTTTCTCTTCATTTTTAAAATAGCCCATGGAGATATTCTGTCCACCAATTACTATTTCACCCCTGGGATTTGGTTTGTCGTGAATTGTATAGCCACCTGAAAGTTGTAAAAGCAAATTATTCTGAAATTTTGTTTTTATTCATTCTGAATGCTAAAAAATTACTAATACTTTTATGCTTAGTAAATTTTATATTACTTCATAAGAAAAACAGTTGTTTGTATTTAATTCAAAATATATATGTGAGGCCTGGAACAACAGCACAGCTGGTAGGGTGTTTGCTTTGTATGAGGCCAACATGGGTTTGATCCCCAGCACTCCTTTTGGTCTCCCAAGCCTACCAGAAGTGATCCCTGAGTGCAGAGTCAGGAATAAGCTTTGATTACTGCGGGGTGTGGTCCCCAAACCAAAAAAAAAACCCTGTCTATGTGAAGCTAATGGGTGATGGTAATTTTTTTTTAATGAATTAACTTTTTTTTATAATTTATTTCTTTATTGAATCACTGTGGGAAAAGCCACAGAGCTTTTGGGTTTAGGTCTCAGTCATGTAAATATCAAACACATTTCCCTCTACCAATACTTATTTTTAACCTCAAACCCCACCTCCCACCCCTCCCAATTCCTGTGAGGCAGATGAGTTCCAGCCAACACTCTATATACCTTGACCAGATACATTGTTTCGATAGAAGATGCACCATTATTGTTTAGAGTTTACGACCCCCCCCCCCATCAGACATGCTGAAACAGCGTTGCGAAATGATTTGCTTTCTACAGCTGGGTTCAAGAATAAAATGATGTTGCTCGGCCGCGGTTCTGGATTTCTGCTATTTTACTTATTAACCCTGGAAGTATTTCTATTAAAAGTTAGATAGTTAAGAGATTGGTTTCTGTACTCTGGAGTCGTGGCCATGCTGGAGAGCCTCGTGGGGGGCAGCTGGTGACCTCGGTCGGGAGTGAAGGATGGACCAGATCACCCCCCTTCCCATGAGGTCCCTGCCGCCCCCACCCCCGGCTCAAACCTGCTGTCCACAAGGCTCCCGTTCGGCCGCCATCTTTCTTTCCAGAGAGGCCAGGGCGAATGGAGCAACACCCTTTCCCCTCCGGGCAGGCATGCTGGCGCGGTTTAACACATAGTCCATTCGCTTTTCTGCTCCAAGCATTTGGTTTTCTGCGCTAAGTCCTTGTGCTTCCGGGGCCGTGGCCGTGCCGGAGAGCCACTCGTGGCGGGCAGCTGGTGACCTCGGTAGGTCGTGAAGGACGGCCCAGAATGCCCCCTTCCCATGAGGTCCCTGCCGCCCCCACCCCCGGCTCAAACCTGCTGTCCACAAGGCTCCCATGCGGCCACCATCTTTCTTTCCAGAGAGGCCAGGGAGAATGGGGCAACACCCTTTCCCCTCTGGGCAGGTATGGGAAGGGGGGCGATCTGGTCTGTCCTTCACGCCCGACCGAGGTCACCAGCTGCCCCCCACGAGCGGCTCTCTGGCACGGCCACGGCCCCAGAAGCACAAGGACTTAGCACAGAAAGCCACCCGCTTGGAGCAGAAAAGCAAATGGACTATGGGTTAAACCGCGCCAGCATGCCTGCCCGGAGGGGAAAGGGTGTTGCCCCATTCGCCCTGGCCTCTCTGGAAAGAAAGATGGCGGCTGCACGGGAGCCTTGTGGACAGCAGGGTGATGGTAATTTTGGGAAAGACTCAGTGATAATTATCAAACATCACTCATCCCAAAACATCTATAACCATAAAAATTTGCATTAAAAACATGATAGGATCTTAGGGTTCAAAGTTCTGTGAATATCAAATTTGCCCCAAGAAGGACAGTACTTGACACTGTGTTTTGTAAATTATTCATATGCTACAATCAATATATTTTGTATTTATTTCTAAGAAGATCTTAATCAAAGAATCCTGTTGCTAGTTAAGTGTCTATCAAAATAAATAATCGTTTAGAGTTTCCCTCTCAATGGAAGACATTGGAAGCAGAAGGGAAATCTTATTTTCTTAATTTTTCCTATGACTAGCCATTGCTTGGAAAGCTCTAACAGGGCTAGGATGTGCTTCAGCAGCAGAGCAAATGCCTTGAGTTCAAGTGCCAGCAGTGCAAAATAAATGATTGACAATAATATTTTATACCAAATACCAAAATATTTTAACTATACTCATTAACAGTTTATTACTGAATAAAATCTTACTTTCATCATATAAGTCAAGGAGATGTAATGGGGATTTTAATCAATAAGACAAAATTACAACTTTGAAAATTGCTAAGAAAAAAGTGGTAAAGGCACTGGAGAGATAGTACAGATGGTAGAGCACTTGCCTTGCATTCAGCCAACTTGGGATCAATATCCCCAGCACCTCGTATGGTCCTCTCAGCCCTACCAGGAGTGATCTCTGAGAAGAGTCAGGACTAAACCCCGAGCATCAGAGAGTATGCCCTCCCCACCCCCCAAAAAGAGAGATAGGCAAACACCTATTGTGATGATCATTTCACTATGCATACAAATTTCAAATCATTATGTCTTACACCTGAAATTAGATTAACCTTGTATATCAACTGTACTTCAATAAAAATGGAACATTTGAGGATAAATAAGTAGAAGGGATTGATTGGATGATGGTAGGTGAAAAACCAGACTCTCGGTGGTAGTAACGGTATGGTATATGGTTATGTGTTGCTTAATATTTTAGCCAACTATGAAATGCAGATAGGCTGCATAATAGGCTATACCACTAGATTTGCACAGTTATAGACTGTGATGTTCATACTATATAGATATCAAGCTGGAAAGTTGTACACCTAAAACTTATAAAACTATGTTACCACTGTAAAAAGTAAGACAGAGCCAAAGCAATAGTAGGTGTTTGTCTTGCACGCAGTAGACAAGGATTTGATCCCCAGCACCACATTGGTCCCTTAAGCCCACCAGGAGTGCCCCCTGAACACAGAACCAGGAGTAAGCCCTGAACATCTTTGGTGAGGCCCAAAAACAAAAACAAAAGCAAAAGCAAAATAATAAGAATACCTGAAATATTAAAAAGATAACAAATCAATAAAGGTAACAAAATACTTTAAGGAAAATATACAAAAATCTGAATTCACAAACTAAAATATCGATTAAATTTTGTGTCTCTAAAGAACTAAAAACAGCACTCCTTTTAGCATGTTTGCATTTCTTATCATTAAAAAATATTTACTATTTTAATACAACAAAGCAGCACCACCTGCAAATTATCAAAGTCAATTCTCCTGTACAATGTTAGTTCATAGCAAGGCAACCTCCAAAGTTACCACCAAACGTGGGACCACTCCTCAAAACTGACATTAAAGCACAGTACCAGAAAAGCACAAAAATAGAAACAAAAGGAAAAAATTGTCTATAACATGTTTTCTTCTACACCTTGTTTCTCTGATTTTGCTGCTCAATAAATAATCCACCAAGGGCAGGAGACACAATACAGTGCACAGGGTGTTTGCCTTGCACCTGGCTGACCCCAAGTACAATCCCCAACATCCCATATGGTACTCTGAATCCACCAAAAGTAATTTCTGAGTATAGATCCAGGAGTAACTCGAACACGCTGGGTATGGCCAAAAATCCATCACTGGTGACCCAAGTACTGAGCTGGGAGTAGCCCCTGAGCACCACATGATGTGGCCATGTAAACAAGTAATCAAATAACTCATCTAAAATAATTTTGATACTGATGCTCAATATATCTGGATCTTCAGTAGCTTTACTGTCTTCTTGTTTTTATTCAAAAACAGGAAAATTAATTACCATGGGAGAGAGAAGTGTATGATTTAATTAATTTTGGTTTGGGGGACCCCACTTGGCAATGCTCAGATATCATTCCTGGCAGTCTCAAGGGACCTTATGGTGTGCCGGAAATTAAACCTGGATCAAACGTATGCAAGGCAAGCACCTTAGTGCAAGATATATCACTGTACTCTCCTGGCCCCCCCATTTAATTTTTTTTAAATTTTATTTTAGGCATCATTAATTTTCGATATTGATAATGGTAGGGTTTCAAGCATAATACATTCCAACACCACACCAGAGTGTCTGTGCCCCTCTGTGTCCCCATCCACTGCTGGTGGGAGTGTCAACTTTTCCAGCCATTTTGGACAAGACAAATGTAAATCAGTTGTACTTCAATAAAAAGGGAACATCTGAGGAGAAATAAGAAGAGGAGAATGATTGGATGGTAGTGAGTTGTTGAAAAACTGGAATTTCAATGGTGGAAATGGTATGGAAGTGGACATTAAAAAATAAAAACCTACAAATTGATCTCCAATATGATCCAGAATTTCACTTTTTGCCATTTACCCCATGGGCCAAAATTTCTCTTTAAAAAAGACATTTGTACTCTGATGTTCATTGTAGCACTATTTGCAATAGCTAAAATCTGGGGGAGGGGGAACCTCAAGCATTCAAGAACAGAAATTATGGTACATATACATAGAAGGTAGGATTTTAAATGGGAGTTGTTATTTATTCATAGAGCACCAGTCATATAAGAGAAAAACTTTGAGAAACTTTGAATTTAGCACCGTAGCACTGTCCACTGTAGCACTGTCCTCCCATTGTTCATCAATTTGCTCGAGCGGACCCCAGTAATGTCTCCGTTGAGAGACTTGTTGTTACTGTGTTTGGCATATAGAATATGTCATGGGTAGCTTGCCAGGTTTTGCCGTGTGGGTGAGATACTCTTGGTAGCTTGTCAGACTCGCTGAGAGGGGCAGAAGAATTGAACCCGGGTCCGCTAGGTCAGCTGTGTGCAAGGCAAATGCCCTACCTACTGTGCTATCGCTCTAGCCCTATGTTAGATAAAGCTCATTCATTTTTATTGTCTTGAACAACCAATGGATTACATCCTGGGTCCTTTACCATATCTGTCTGTGACTCCACCCTAAGGTGAAATTTTTTTGAAATCTTATGTGTTTCAATTATTCTTCATTTTATCTGAAAACGTTAGACTGTCAAATATTTTTTTATGGAGGCCAGAATGATAGTAGGTTGGGTAGGGTGTTTGCCTTGCACACAGCCGAATCAGGTTTGATCCCTGGCATCCCATATGGTCTTCTGAGCACTGCCAGGTGTAATTCCTGAGTCCAGTACAAGCATCACCGGGTGTGATCAAAAAAGCAAAAAAAATATGTATTTTTATGTTGTATTAATATTTTAGTGTACTAGTATTTTCAAGAGCTGGAGCGATAGCACAGCAATAGGATGCTTGCCTTCTGCACAGCCAGCCCGGCCAAGACAGGTTCGGTTCCTCCGCCCCTCTTGGAGAACCCGGCAAACTACCAGGAGTATCTTGCCCACATGGCAAAGCCTGGCAAGTTACCCATGATGTATTCAATATGTCAAACACAGTAACAAGAAGTCTTAAAAAAAATGGAGACGTTACTGGGCCCGCTTGAGCAAATCGATGAACAACGGGAGGACAGTGCTACAGTGCTACGGAATTCTTAAATTATTTTAATTTCTTATAATTTCAAAGAGGAAAGACTATTTGCCTTTTGCCTTCAGGAGGCCTACAAAAATGATTATTATCAATGTTAATTAAATGCAGGTATGTTCTTAGTGGCTTGTGTTTGCAATGACATATTAGAACTTCAACTATGCAAAAAATGGACAGCTGAATCTTTAAAAATTTATTGATGTAGCTTAAGTGACATATTTACAATAGTGCCAACACTTACATTTTGCTATAAAGTTACCACCCCTCATCACCACCAATATGCCGTAATCTGCCTCTAGTCTGTCTTTTTCTTTCCCATCCTGTACCCTCTCGCTTGGTAATGTGAGTTTTGTAGACACAGACCGGTCCCGGGTGGCAACACAGCACTGGAGGTCCCTCTGGATCCCATACCGAGCCAATTTTGCTAGGGTACCCCAGATGGAGCAGGTGCAGTCTCCAGATGGATCCCCTGCGTCCAAGAGCAAAGCCCAGGTATGCAGGTACCAGGACTAAATATCCAGGACGCATGAAAGCTGAGGCACTGGGCTGTCTCTCCTCAGCTCTCCACCCACTCTGCGGCCTAGCTGTCACGCCCACAAGCTTCTGCCGGGCGCCATCTTGGTATGCCAACAACCCTGATCCAGAGACTCCTAATTGAATCCCAAAATGGATTAGTGCCCTAGAGAGATGTATCTGGAACCCAACCATCTACAATCTAGGATCCCAGAAGCGCGTGGCCGCAAAATTCAAAAAAATTTTGAGTATCTCATGATATTCAAAATGAGCAATGGAAAATAAATGATCTAGCGTCTGCCTCAGGCAGGCAGGCTTGAATGGTGGTGGAAAATTAGGGCAAAACATAATGCCCAAAAGTAGAGAGAGAGCATTGGGGAAATTGTTTGCCACAGAGGCAGTACGGGGCGGGGGGGGGGGGGGGACTAGGATGCAGGGAGATACTGGGTACATTAATGGTAGAAAATGTACACTGGTGGAGGAAGGGTGTTTGATCATTTTATGGCTGAATTTCAAACATAAAAGCTTTGTAACTATCTCATGGTGATTCAATAATTTTTTTTTAAAAAAATGAGTTTTGTTAGCAAAGACCAAGAGTTTGTCATTATTCCATATTGTCTTTTCCTTTTTTTTTCTACATTCCACAGATGAATAATATCATTTGGGGCTGGAGCGATAATGCAGTGGGTAGGGTGTTTGCCTTGCATGCAGCCAACCAGGGTTTGATTCCCAGCATCCCATATGATCCCCTGAGCACTACCAGGAGTAATTCCTGAGTGTAAAGTCAGGAATAACCCCTGTGCATCGCCGGGTATGACCCAAAAAGCAAAATAAATATATAAATAAAAGATCATTCAATATTTATTCTTCCTCTGATATATTTTAACACAATCTCCTCCAGTGTAATCCAAGTTGCAGCAATGGAAAGCGGAATTTTAATCATAAGCATGTTTACTGGGGTCAAAATCTAAGAATTTGGTGTGTGCACAAGCACATGTGTGTATTTATATAGTCTACATCCTGGAAATCTAAAGATTCTTTGCTCTTTCCCTCTCCCTCTCCTCCCCCTTTCCCTCCCCTCTCTTCTGTCTCTCTGTCTCTATCTCTGTCTGTCTGATTGTGTCTCTGTCTCTGAGTCTCTCTCTCACACACACACACATCCTATCTCCAAACACAGGGAATGCTCTAGTAAGAATCATTTCTTCTTTTACTATCAAGTATTCCCACGTTCAGGACCACTACATGTAGATTCCATAGATTTTCCATTTGCTTTTAGGGACCCGAAGATGATATGGAGGAAAAAGCAAGCATAGAGCTACAAGTAAAAGTAAAGCCTTACTTGCTACCACAGACAACCTAACACTTGAAAGAAAATGTTGTCTATAGATCTAAAATCACTTGAATTGATTCTTACCTTCCTGCCAGTCTTTTAGTTTAATTTCACAGCAAATAAGAGGGGCTCCAACACGGCCAGTAGTATAGTCAGTAACTATAAGGGAAAATATTAATATATTAGATACCATATTATGGACTAGAAATGTTGGAATTAGAGTCAGAATCTATCTGATAGGAGAGAGAAAGAGCACAACAGATGATTAGTCAATGTTATAGTTTCAAGAAAAAAACATTGTATAACTGAAATGCAATCATGAACAACTTTGTAACTGTGTATCTCTTGGTTGATTCAAGTTTTAAAAAGGAAAAAAGAGAAAAAGGTACAGTTTACCACCAAAAACACATAATTATTTTTATGAGACTGAGGACATGATAATAAATATTTACTATTACAAAAATAAAACAAAATTTCAACAAAAATAGCAACATCATTTTTGGTTTCAGTTTGGACTGATCCTCTAGCACAATACACTGGCTGGAGAGATAGCTCAACAAGCTTAAGTACATGTTTTTCATGCAGGAATCAAGATTAAATTACTGATTCTGCATGGTTGATCCAACAAGCACTGTTGGGAGTAACCCAAGCACTGGGCTGGGAGAAGTCACTGAGTAGCTCCAGGTGTGGTTCCCATCTCCCCGAAATGTGTATGCTATTAAGATTCAATAAGACAATACATAAACTGGTTCCAATACTACTTGGGACAAAGTGGTTAAAAATATTAGCTGCTATTATTAAATAGGTGGTGATAATCATTATGATCCTATTCATTTATACTTCAAATCAAGTAATTGTGGAAAATCTATTTTCCTTATAATTATAATTACAATAAACAGTGTGAGAAAAACACTTAATTGATAAGGAAACTGTACCCTCAAGGAACCAAAATGTACCTAAGAACATTGCATAAAGAATAAATAAATAAGGACAGAAACATAGTACAGTGTGTGGTGTCTTTACTTTGAACATATCCAACCTGGTTCAAATCCGGGCACCACATAAGGTTCCCTGAGCCCTCAAAAGTAATCCCCGCAGAGGTAGCAATAAACCCTGAGCAATACCAGGTGTGGCCCCAAAACAAAAACAAAATGAATTAAATAAGAATAATTAAATACTAAACTTCATGGCACTCCTAGTGGGAAAATAGACCTGAAGAGATAAGAATGATTGAAAATAGCATAAAATTGTTGGGAAAGACATAATTGAAGAAATGTTCAAAGGAAGATGGCCATTATCAGTTACCCAAAAAGGTATTCCAAAGGAAGCAACAGTACATAGAGAATGACTAGAGCAAGAGTGGCAGTCTGAGAAAGAGAGACAAGACTGACTTGTCTGGACTGAGGGGACTGATGTTTATATGTAGAAGTCACAGAAAAATAATGATGAATATGTCAATGGTGCAATATTAAAGGTCCGGACAATGATAGAGGGACATGGTTACTCTGGACCAGGTCTAGGTACTGAAAAGAGGCAAAGAGACATGTATCAATAACAGTATTTTAAACCACAGTATCTATAGTGGGGGGAAGAACAAAGAAAAAGTGCTTCTCATGGAGGCACTCTGGGGGTGTGAGGGAAACCAGGGACACCGGTGGAGAGAAGTAGACACTGCTGAAGGGACTGGTGGTGTTGAGCATCTGAAATTCAATCATGAATAATTTGTAAATTGTAATTCACAGTGATTCAATAAAAAATCAAAGATATCTAAAAAGCTAGGTATGTGAGGTATGATTCAGTGTTTGAGGTGAATGAGCTGCCTATGCTATGGGCAGACACATCTGGAAATAGCTCAGAATAATGAGAATGAAAAGTTCACTGTCAAAAGTGACACACAGAGAAAGAAGTAGTCCAATAATGAATGGAAAGACATGAATTTTAATGATAGTAAAAAGATCTCATCAAGGTGGCTTCAAACCTAATACCCTTAAGGATGGGAATACAATGGTCATAATCAGACAATGAAGGGGTGATTTGAGATACTGGCATTGACTTGGAATACAGAGTTTTAAATGAATATAGGAAAGTCCAAAAGAAAACCACTACACTATGGCAATTTTTCTCCACTCTGGAATATATTTGGCAATATTTAGAAAATAAATTTTATTTTCCCATACTGGGGGTAAGAGGAGATCCATTACTACTACTATCTATCTGCTAAGTATCCTACAATGCTCAGGAGAGCTGTGAACTACAAAGAATGCACTGGTTCAAATTTTCAGTGATGTCCAAGTTGAAAAACCCTGCTACTGACTGTTAAAAATAACGGAAAAGAAAACAAAAAATAGTTAAGCAGAAATATAGGTCTGAGAAGAAGTTTAAAGTACAATTCTCAAAAAAGGGAATAATTTAGAGAAAGAATTTCAAAGGACTAGGGTTACAGAATTTTGAGGACTGACATTGTGACATAAAGACTTATAAGTCTTAAAAATAAAAGCTAGAGCATAATAATCTTAAGCTTCTCAAGTAATGCAAATGGGTATTATTGTAGTAACTAATAAAAAATTACAAATGACATTAAAAATACTTAAAAACCCATATCTGAAAAAATGAAGATTAAAAGGGGGCTTTGGTGGTAGTACAGTGGGCAGGGCACTTGCCTTGTACATGGCCAAGCTGGGTTCAATCTCTAGTACACCATGAGTCCTCTGCGCCCCACCAGGAGAGATTCCTGAGTGCAGAGCCAAGAGTAGCCCCAAGCACTGCTCAGTGTGGTCAAAATAAACAAATCCTTATACTTAGCCAGAAAAACAGCTCAAAGGGCTGAGCACATGCTTTTCATAAAGGAGGCCTGAGACTGATCCACATTACCACATGGTCCCCTGAGCAATATTGTAGTGAACCCCAAGAAACCCAGGATTAGAGCCAGGGGTAGCTCCTAAGCATTGCTCTGTGTGGCCCCCAAAACTAAATGAAATATATAATTTATAAAATAAAGTCAAAATATTTACCTTCAGTAACAGTTCCAGCACCACATGATTCTGTCAATCCATAACCCTGACCAATTGGGCAGCAGAAGCAGACATTCATGAATCGGTGAGTCTGAGGAGATAGTGGCGCTCCACCAGACAGCATCATTCGGACATTGCCGCCCAGTAGGGCCTTCACTTTTTTAAATAACACCCTTAATAAAAGGGAAGATAAATGTTCTTACTATATGTATACATTATTTTTGGTAACACTGATTTATAAATTCTATGAAAGAGTTCACAAGTGTGGCAAAGCATTTCTACTTCATAACATAAAGATGAAGGTTAAAAATGAGGTAACAGGGGCTAGAGAGATAGTACAGTGCTTGCGTTGCAGGTAGCCAACCCAGGTTTGATCCTTGTCCTGAGCACACTAGGAGTGATTCCTGACCACAGAGCCAGGAGTAACCTCTGAACACGTCCAGGTATAGCCAAAAACACAGTGTTAACTGGAGACACCTTGAATAACACCAGAAAAACTTGTAAAATGTCAAATAAAAATGTAGCAACTACTCTGATAACCTGTATGTGAAAAGAATTATCAACATGAAAAAAATTAGTTATCTCTAGAATGCTCAGTCATCCATCTTACCACACCTTCACTGAAAAAAAGTATTTCCATTGTCCACTCCCTTACACTGTATTTTGAACAATTTGTCTATATACTTGCCAATTTATGAATATTATAAATCAAAGGGCTGAAGCGATAGCACAGTGGTAGGGTGTTTGCCTTGAACGCAGCCAACATGGCGGACCCGAGTTCGATTCCTCCGCCCCTCTCGGAGAGCCCGGCAAGCTACCGAGAGTATCTCGCCCGCACAGCAGAGCCTGGCAAGCCACCTGTGATGTGTTCGATATGCCAAACACAGTAACAACAAAGTCTCCAATGGAGACGTTACTGGGCCCGCTCGAGCAAATCAATGAACAATGGGAGGACAGTGACAGTGAATAAATCAAAAAAAAATTCATGCAACCTAAATCTTTGGGGGGTCATACCTTATGATTCTCAAGAGTTATTCCTGGCTCTGCCCTAAGAAATTGCTCCTGTGAATGCATGGGGCATCCCCGGGGTGCCAACGATTGAACCCAGGTCAGCCAAATGCAAGGCAAGCGCCCTGTCTGCTACACTCTCAAGCCCCTGTGCAGAATAAGTATTGAAACGTCTTTAGACTTGAAATATATATTTTAAATACAACTGTTTTGACTAAAAGTTCTACTCCAGTTTTTCTTCATATACCATGGTCACGGTAACGATCCTCCCGTTGTTCATCGATTTGCTCGAGCGGGCCCAGTAATGTCTCCATCATGAAACTTGTTGTTACTGTGTTTAGCATATCAAATACGTCACGGGTAGCTTGCCAGGCTCTGCTGTGAGGGCGAGATACTCTCGGTAGCTTGCCGGGCTCTCCGAGAGGGCAGAGGAATTGAACTCGGGTCGGCCATGTTGGCCGCTTGTAAGGCAAACGCCCTACTGCTGTGCTATCGCTCCAGCCCCTTCATATACCAAATTTTATAATTATTCACTCAGTGAATTGAGTCTTAGGAAATTGGAACAATCATATTCCTCTGATTGCTGTGGAAACAATAAGGCTTATACATGAATTTAAAAATTCAGTCTTATAATCACATTGCTGTTCTGCAAACTAAATCAACTTGTCATTTTCTTTTTCATCTTACAGACACACAAACACGAAGAGGCCAAACTATGAAATATACTTACAGGTTGCAGAGTGGAGCATCATAACCCTTTTTGATCTGTTCCAATTTGTAATCATACCCTATCTTGAATAGAGTTTTCTGAATATAATTCATCTCTTGGACTTTGCTCATAACATTCTTATAAATCCTGTCCATGATTTCCTGAAAGATAAGCAAAATATTCAATAATTTGAAAGGGTTCCAATAACCTGAGACAGACTTCACATGTAATCTTACTTGCCATATCACATTATTTTTTATAATATTTACAGTACAATAAACAGTTTAAGTGTAATGGATATTACTTCATTTGTAAATAATTTCAGTGACATGTTCACTGTTTTAAAAAAAACTTAGATGGGCCACAGATACAAGTTTAATGGACAGAGTACATGCTTTATATGCAGGAGTCCCAGGTTTGCTCTCCAGCAAGCAAAAAACAAAGGTATAAAACATCTTTTTTGTTTTGTTTCCTGTTGGACCACACCTGGCTGTGCTTAAGCATTACTCTTGGCTCTGCACTCAGGTATCAGATGTGGTGCCTGGGATCAAACCTGGGTCAGCTGCATGCAAGTGAATTGCCCTACACATTGCACTATCACTCTGGCCCATGGTATACAACATCACATTTCTATAAAACTTGGGGAAGAGAGGGATGTCTACTCTGGTATTCAAAGATTACACTATTATTATCTCCTTGGCACCCAAGGAGAGTAGGCAAAAGGGCGAGGAATATTGCTCCATAATTGGAAGCTTGTCTCATAAGCTGGGGGAGAAGGCAGCTTGAATAGAGAAGAGATCACTAAGTCAATAATGGTTAGAGGGATCATTCTGGATGAGAGATGTGTTCTGAAAGTAGACAAAGGGCCAAATGTGATAACCTCTCAGTATCTGTACTGCAAACCATGTCCAAAAGTAGAGAGAGAGTATGGGGGAAATTGTCTGCCACAGAGGCAGAAGGAGGGTTGGAAAAGGGGGATATTGGTGGTAGATAATGTGCACTGGTGGAGGGATGGGAGTTGAATCATGGTATGACTGAAACTCAAAATGAAAGCTTTGTAACTGTATCTCACGGTGATTCGATAAAAAAAACACATGACACTATGTTGCTTTCTTCATTTCAAAAAAAGGAACTGCAATAGTTTAATTGAAATACCTGTCTAGATCTGTGATAGGAAAATTCCAGTTCTTCCCTAAAAGGCCTTTAGTAACTTATGCCATTCCTTTATAGAGTAATATGGTCTATTAAGAGGGGAAAGAAGAGCATGGGACTCTAACAGATATAAGAATCATTTTTATGGTCCTTCAACACTATATACTAATCACAGACTCAGTAATACATGAATAAGGAATATAATACAGCTAACAACAAGCTGGTGGCATTTATGGTTAACTCAAAAAGAATCCTTTATTTCAACTTAACATTAAAGATGTTCAATTGGCTCAATACTCTAAAAAATTCAGTTTTGAATTTTCACTAAATATTATAGCATTATATCAATCTTTTCTTCTGAGGAAGCAATGAAAGAAAACTGATTCTATTAAAAATCCTCAAATTATTTTGATTTGGGTCCACAACCAGCTGTGCTCAGGGCTTACTTCTGGGTCTGTGTCCAAGGATCATTCCTGGTGGGCTCAGGGGACCATATGGGCTTTCAGGAATCGAATGTGGGTTGGCTGCATGTACAGTAAATGCTCCAACTTCTGTGCTATCTCTCCAGCTCCTTCAGTGGCTTTTTAAAAGCACATTTATAAATTAGTAGAAAGAACTAAGGGAATTAATAAGGCTTGGTGAAGCACAGTTGACTAGCAATATAGAAGCCCATTTATTACCTCTGGGCCAAAAAAATACTAAAGAGATTGGAACCAGATAACCATGGGAAAGACTGGGTATAGCCAATGAGGAAAATATCTAAGAATTCCCTTACAGCTGCCAAAAATCGCAACCCATCAGTAAAGGAGCATAAGCTATAACCACATAGAGCATCCTTTCTTCCTGACCTCTGTTCTGTTATGAGTACTAACAACTGGCCTAACCCAATAGAAAATTAGAGGACAAACAAACTCTGGTATTTCATCCATAGAATTCAGCATCCTAAAAGGAGAGTTACAGATAGGTAAGACTGCAAGTAAGGAGGCTTGCCTTGCACATAGCTGACCTGGGTTCAATCACCGGCATCGCATATGGTCCCCTAAGCCCTACCAGGTATGATCCCTAAGCACAGAGCCAGGAGTAAGGCCTGAGTACCACCAGGTGTGCTCTCCTCCCCCCAAAAGAATAATAAACAATGATAACTGTAGAATGAATGAATAGCTTATTAGCTCATTCCTATTTATTTACACTTAGACATTGTTTCCTAGACTCGACAATCCTTACTCCTTCCCTATGTAAGGCACTTAGCACAGTGCTGAAAACACAGTAGGGATGATGAAAACTACTATCAGCATCCTTTTATTGATTTTACTTATTTATTTTTTGGCCTTTGAGATTTATTTATTTATTTAAATGAATCATTGTGAGATACAGTTACAGACTTACAAACTTTCATGATTACGTTTCATTCATACAATGATCGAGTATCCATCCCTCCACCAGTGCCCATTCTCCACCAACAATGTTTCCAGTATTCCTCCCACCACTCCCACCCCATCCCACCACTACCTCCGTGGCAGGCACATTCTTTTTACTTGCTCTCCTTTTGGGTGTTATGGCTTTACATGCTGGAGGAAAAGGCAGCTGGGATAGACACGGGACCACTAAGTGAATGATGCTTGAAGGGCTCACTCGAGATGGGAGATGCATGCTGAAAGTAGACTACAGACCAAACATGATGGCCACTTACTACCCGTATTGCAAACTATCAGCATACTTTTATTTTATTGCTAATCACATGCCTTGCCTTTGGTCTGTAAGCTTGCTGCTATACTGGAGTAGCCTAGATAGGTTACCCTGACTTATTCTAACCTTTCTGTTCTTAAAGAATTTTTAATTAGAAGACTAACATCATAAAGTATCTTTCATCTGTAATTCCTAGAAAAACCTGGACAGAGCATTTCATTATATAATCTCAGAATTTCAATATATAAAATAATTCTACAAAAGATAGTAGAATAAGATTTGAAGTCTGACTACATTACAACAATGGTGATACAGTCTCAGTGGGATTTCTGAAGCCTAAAGCACTAGAATAATTTGATATACAAGTTGAAAACACTGTGATATAGATAAAGAAAATCTCTTTAAATGTATCATTAAATATTTATCATTACAAAGCTATCAAACCTAGCATCTTGTTTTAGTAACAAGCAATACTTCATATAAGGATCTTGGAGAGCTACAATAAAACTTCTTTTCTTAGGCAGTTTTCTCAAAACATTTAAGTCACCAGAGGAAATTCCAAGGCTTGCTATTTGATACTCAATTCCGTCACTAATCAGCCCCATATGTTGGATATGCTCCTCAATTTTTCTAGAGAAGGCCTAAAGGTTTCTCATTTTTAATTAAAAATAAACAAGACAATATTAAGAGCATATTCTAGTTTTAAATGATTACAACCAAATTCTCAAACTAGGTAACTTGCCCTTGAAAATCACCAGGTCATATCATTACTTTAAAGCTCCATTATGGACAAACATTATCAGGTCTATTAATTGCAGAAGACTGTCAGTTCAGTTTTCCCAATATTTAACATTTAAAGGAACATAATAGCTATACTTTCAACGTAGTTGAAAAGTGCTCACCTAGCATATGTACAATCCTAGATTAGATCTCCGACTGAATCCAGGACTCCCGAATGCAAAGCATGCATGCACTCAGCCCCCCGGAGTGCTCATAAGTTACTCTTGGCTCTGCACTCAGGTATCTCTCCTTTTTTTTTTTCTTTTTTTTTTTTCCCTTTATTTTATTTTATTTTTTTTAAAGTTGTAGATTTACAATTTTTTGTGCTTTGGTTTCAATTATACAATGATCAGATACCCATCCCTCCACCAGTGCCCATTTTCCACCACCATGGATAATATCCCTCCCACCCCCATCCCCCCATCCCCCCGTCTCTGTGGCAGGGCAATCCCCTGTGTTCTCTCTCTCCTTTTGGGTGTTGTGGTCTGCAAAAGAGGCATTGAGTGGCAAACATGTTCAGTCCATAGTCTACTTTCGACATGCATCTCCCCTCCTGGGAGGATCCTCCAAACATCCTTTATTTGGTGCTCCCTTCTCTATCTGAATAGCCCTTTCCTCTAGGATACCCGGCTGGCCTCTAAGTTATGGAGTAATCCTCCTGGTGCTGATCTCAGCTATTCTTGGGTATTAATCTCATACTTTGTTACTTTATATCCCCCAGATGAATGCAATCTTTCTATGTCTATCCCTCTCTTTCTGACTCATTTCGCTTAGCATGATACTTTCCATATTGTACCACTTGTATGTAAATTTCATGACTTCATCTTTTCTAAGAGCTACATAGTACTCCATTGTGTAGATGTACCAAAGTTTCTTTAACCAGTCATCTGTTCTTGGGCATTCAGGTTTCTTCCAGTTTCTGGCTATTGTAAAGAGGGCTGCAATGAACAAACAAGTGCAGATGTCACTTCGACTATACATTTTTGCCTCTCTGGGATATATTCCCAGGAGTGGTATTGCTGGGTCAAATGGGAGCTCAATTTCTAATTTTTTGAGAATCGTCCATACTGTTTTCCAGAAGGGCTGAACCAGTCGGCATTCCCACCAACAGTGAAGGAGTGTCCCTTTCTCGCCACAACCACGCCAGGTATCTCTCCTTAGAATGCTGGGGAACCATATGGGATGCTGGGGATTAAACCTGGGTTGGCCATGTGCAAGGTCAATGCCCCACCTGCTATATTCTCTCTCTGGCTCCAAAAGTGACATTTTTATTATATACTCACTGGAACAGCAGCCATGAGTGTAGGCTTCAATACAGTGCAATCGCCTTTGCTTCCTTTTTTAATCTTGCTGGACTACATTACAGAGAAAACAAACAGAGAAAAAAGTCAGAAACATAGGAACAATCATAGAATGACTGCACTCATTTGTGGAATATTGGTCACTGGTCACTGTCCTCCTGTTGTTCATCGATTTGCTCAAGCGGGCCCAGTAACGTCTCCATTGGAGACTTTGTTGTTATTGTGTTTGGCATATCGAATACGTCACGGGGAGCTTGCCAGGCTCTGCCATGAGGGCGGCGAGATACTCTCAGTAGCTTGCCGGGCTCTCGGAGAGGGGCAGAGGAATCGAACTCGGGTCGGCCATGTTGGCTGCATGCAAGGCAAACGCCCTACTGCTGTGCTATCGCTCCAGCCCTTGTGGAATATAAAATAATATAATATGAGACTGACACCCAAGGACAGTAGGCACAAGGGCCAGGAATACTGCTCCATAGTTGGAAGCCTGCCTCATGAGCTGGGGGAGAAGGCAGCTGGAATCGAGAAGGGATTGCTAAGTCAATGATGGTTGGAGGAATCATTCAGGATGAGAGATGTGTGTTGAAAGTAGATAAAGGACCAAACGTGATACACTCTCAGTATCTGTATTGCAAACTATAATGCCAAAAAGTAGAGAGAGATAGTATGGGGGAAACTGTCTGCCATAGAGGCAGGGGGAGGGTTGGGATGGGGGGAATACTGGGGAGAGTAATAATGGTGGTGGAGAGTGTGCACTGGTGGAGGGATGAGTGTTCGATCATTGTATGACTGAAACTCAAACATGAAAGCTTTGTAACTGTATCTCAATGTGATTCAATTAAAAAAAAAAACAGAATCAGGAAAATCAACTTTAGCCCAAAGATGTGACAATTCAAGCAAGTAAAATAATCACAAAATCTATGCATAAAATCTGGTTTTCTACTTCTCTGTGGGTTATCTGCTCAAACTATGACAATCTATAAGTTGATAGTGCTTTAGTGCTATATACATCCTATAGATTATATCTTCTAACACAGTTTAATCATCTTTGGAGAAGATACTCTGTTCCAGAATAAAGAACAATGCTCTAGTTTGATAAATGAAGCATTCTTATTAATAACATATCATCAAATATAGCCTAGAACTACCTTTTCCTCACAAAAGTTCTTACCATTTAACATTAAAAGTAAAGTGAAGATAATTTTAGCTTCCTTTATTTAGCCTAAAAGCACAGTCACATCACCAAGTCACCACTATCTATATTAACAATGCAACAAAACATTAATGTCATAACATGTTAATAGAACACTAAAATACTTCCAGTGACTGAGTATATGTACATATGTATGTAAATATATATATATATTTCTTATGCATTGATATTTGCAGGGATCAGCATTTTTATGATGTTCCCCCTGAGAAAGGTAGATCAGAATCTGCTCTAATGCAGTTTTTGAATAATGGCATGTTAGCCCTTGTTCACACAGGCAAGAAGAAAACCAGCTCTAAATAACAAGTAGTTTTAGGATGGAGGATTCAGGGACCCGTGCACAGCTTGGTGGTAGAGAGCTTGCCTTGCAGGCACTGAAGCTGAGAGTTTGATCCACAGCACTGCTCCACAAGCCAAATATAAGACTGGCAGTTCCAAAATCGAGGCTGCCCAGTGCCACAAAGTCCACAATATGATGCACTGCAATGAACTGTGCACTACACATGATCACAACTTGCATGCGATCCCCCAGTTATTGCAATACTCACAATAAAAGGAAGAGGGACAAAACGTAAACTGCCTAAAATTACATTTAAAAAAACTAGGATTGGGCCTGTAGCACCAAAAGCTTCTGCTGGTGGAAATCTTTTTCTTTAAAGTAAATGAAGGAAATAACTTTTTTCTTTAATAACTCAGAGGTGAATGTGCATATTTGTGAATGGAAACACATACTCATTCACTGACACCACACATAGGAAATGTCCTCTGAAGCATGGGTGCTTAGGTATTTGAAGTCAAAGCTGCTCTCTACGTCCTTCAGATTGATTTGGTTTCACTAAAGCATCTGTGTGTGTGTGTGTGTGTGTGTGTACACAGTGCGATTCTATTCATCTATGAGAAAAATTAAGATCCTGCCTTTTTTCTACAACATGGGTGGATATGATAGGGTTCAGCTGTCACTGTCACTGTCCTCCCGTTGTTCATCGATTTGCTCGAGCGGGCCCAGTAACGTCTCCATTGGAGACTTTGTTGTTACTGTGTTTGGCATACGAATACGTCACGGGTAGCTTGCCAGGCTCTGCCGTGCGGGCGAGATACTCTCGGTAGCTTGCCGGGCTCTCCGAGAGGGGCGGAGGAATCGAACTCAGGTCGGCCATGCTGGCTGCGTGCAAGGCAAACGCCAGCACAGCGGTAGGGCGTTTGCCTTGCACACAGCCAACATAGGGTTCAGATAAAACAAATAATTCAGGCAAAAGACTAATATCACACAATCCTACTCATATGTGGAATATAAAGTAACAAAGCAAGGGAGTAGACAAAAGCCAATGAAAACAATAACAAAACTAAGATTAACAAATGAGGCATGGGGAGTGAAAAATAAGGGCCCAGTGGACATGGGTGGGGAAGGAATGTTGGTACTTTGGTTGCAGTAGTGGTATCATGACACTGTACCCTTAAAAAATATAAACACTACATTCTTGTAAGCCAAAGTTATGTGAGTAAGTTAAATATATAGTATGTATATGTATATATGTGTTTGTGTATACATAAAATACACTGAATCTGAAAAGACAACATAAATAAAAAAGTTTAAATATGTAAAGCAAAAAAGGTAGGTGTTAATACTCCAACAGCTTTTAAAAACAGACTTATAATGCAGCACAGCCTAAGAGAAAGCAAAAATAAATTTAAAGCAGCATCTGCACCACTTCCTCACATCCAGGACACCTGTTTTTAGAAAGACAGTGAAAACAAGTATTGCCTGTGTCTGGCTTCTGAGCTTTATGTGTATGGGGGCTGGGGTGGGCAAGGGAAGGAGAATCATATTCAAAGCTTATCAAAATATTTTTCATATTCTGAACACACGTCTGAACATAAGAAATCCTATCTATAATTGATCAAAATGTAACAATCATAGATTCCAAATAATGTTTTAATGATTTATGTCCCAGTTTTGTTTTATTTGGGATTGCGGAGTGTTGGTCCCACACTCATTAGTGCTCAAGGGCTATTTCTGGCTCTGTGCATAGGAGTGACTACTGTTGGTGCTCAAGGAACCATATGTGGTGTGGGAGATTAAAATGAGGGTTGAGGCCACAAGTCATATGCAAGACAAGCCTAATCTCTACTACCTCTCCATCCCATTCTACTGGATTTTAAACGTAAACTTTTAGCTTAAAATATAGATAACTAAAACACGGCAACTCTGTATCACAAGAGACTGTGTCCCATTAAAAACAAAGTGCTCTGGAAGGAAAGGGGGAAGTAAGTAGCAGCTAGCCAAGCTGGCTTGTCTCCTTCCAGCCCCAGTACCAAGAATGGGAAGCAGCACAGCATCAGCGCAATGTCTGTTCCTCAAGATTGGCATTTTTCTCCCAGCTTAGGAGGTCCCACTTTATACTGCAATGTGAATATACAAAGAAACCCTAACTCCAATTACCTGGCTGTAGAACACACAAGAAACACGTCCAGCTGCAAAAGTCACAATGAGAAAGCAATGCAGAACCCCGCCGCACTTGATTAAAGATGGTCATTAAAGATGATAACCCTGAAGATTCAACCAGTAATAATAAGCTATATAAACTTTAATGGGGCTGGAGCAATAGCACAGAAGTAGGCTGTTTGCCTTGCGCACAGCTAGCCCGGCCGAACCAGGTTCGATTCCTCTGCCCTTCTCTGAGAGCCCAGCAAGCTACCAAAAGTATCACGCCCGCACGGCAAAGCCTGGCAAGCTACACGTGACGTATTCAATATGCCAAACACAGTAACAACAAGTCTCAAAATGGAGACATTACTGGGCCTGCTCGAGCAAATCGATGAACAACGGGAGGACAGTGTTTGTTGACAGTGTTTATAAACTTTAAGAACATTACAGAGAAAATGTATAATGAACTCAAAATAAAAAACAATGGAATTGAACCACCAATAAAACACAAGAGAATATGATCACAAAAATGAGAAAACTACAAACAGAAATGACAAACTAAAACCCTGGTAGGTGAAATGAAAAATTCAGTGGAAGGCCTCACCAGCACAGAAAGGAAAGAATCAGTGAGCTTCAAAATAGGTGCAGAAAATTTTCAGACAGCAAAAAGCCTCAAAATAAACAAAAACTGTTAAGAGAACTTTGGATTGAATTCAAGAGAATCAACCTAAGTATCATTGGTGTTCCCAGAGGGTCAGAGAGAGTATGGGGAGGAATTATCTGCCATACAGGCAGGGGGAGGGTTTGGGTGGGTGGGGGATACTGGGGACACTGGTGGTGGAAAATGTGCACTGGTGGAGGGATGGGTGTTCATCTTTGTATGATTGAAACTCAAACATGAAAGATTTGTAACAGTATCTCACAGTGATTCAATAATTTTTTTAAAAAATAAAGGTTATGTTTTTTCTTGCCTAGATAGTGACCACACAGGTGTTTGTGTATGTGTGTGTATATGAATAAATTAAATTTAATCAATTACTATACTTAGGATTTGTATAAGTTAATTTAGCCATCCAAAATGTTTATAAAAGAGGACTGGAGAGATATACAGAAGGTAATGTGCTTGCCTTGAATGCTGCCAGCCAGGGTTTGATACCTGACACCACATATGCCCTGATACCCCAAGCACTGCCAGAAGTGATCCCTGAGCTCAGAGCCAGGAGTAAGACCTGAGAACCAAGTATGGCCCCAAACCCATAAAAGAAAAAAAAAAGAAAGAAGAAACTAAAATTTTCTTTACCAATTTTTAATAAAGGGTTTAATTATTCTGTATTTCACTGTGGTTAGTGGCTACATTGGGCCGGAGGATAACATAATGGGTAGAGCATTTGCCTTGCATGGGGCTGATCTGGGTTCGATTTCTCTGCCCCCCTTGGAGAGCCTGGCAAGCTACTGAGAGTATTTCGCCCGCACAGCAGAGCTTGGCAAGCTCCCCATGACATATTTGATGTGCCAAAAACAGTAACAAGTCTCACAATGGAAATGTTAACGGTGCCCGCTCGAGAAAATCAATGAACAACGGCAGGACAGTGCTACAGTGCTATAGTGACTACATTATGTAGAACAAAGTTCCAGAGAAAATTAGTAAATTTCGACCTAAATCCTACTATCACACTATGGCCTCCAAAAAATTTCAACATAGTGTATGGATAACATGTCAGAAAGTATTAGTGTGTTCATTCAGTCTCTATCCTAGTTCTAATTAAATACCTAAAACTAGAGAAAACCAAGATGAAATTATTCATTTCAAAATACTTTAAAAATATGGAGAGAAAGAAATCCTAACAAATCTACAAGGTTATTTATTTCATCTACACAGTGCTCATGGAAGCTATTTTTGAAGTAAGAAAAAATGTTTAGCTGAATTAAAATAGCTTGTGTTTAAGCAATATGTTCTCAGCTGGACAATGTTACATAATATAATCATGCCAATAAACTGAGAAGGCTTCTTACCTGGTCAGAGAGTGTAAGTGGAGAAGAATATCCAATCCTACAACCATAGGTAAAGCAAGAAATTTCTGCTGTTAACTCAAGAACATGAGCCAAAGGCAAGTAGCCAATATATGTGTCCTTTGGTCTAAAACAAAATAAGAGAAACATTTTAGAAATTAATCTTAAAGAGTCCCGCCATATTATAAACATTAAAAACCCTATCAAATTAGTATCAATTTGAGTTAAGAGGATACCAAACACAAGCCCTTATTTCCAAGGAAAACATATTTTTAAAGTCTATTATGTCTTTTTTTAGATTTTCAGTAATTTTTTTCACATGGGTCCTTTTATAAATTACTAGGAAGAAGGAAGGTCCTCACAACAGCCCACTCAAGTGGCATGTTTCCTACTAAATACCAGATCTCATATTCTTGTTTCCATTGCCTTTGGGAATTCGTTATTCCACCATTATGTTTCTTTATATACCACATGTGAGAGAGATCATTCTGTATCACTTTCTCTCTCTGGCTAATTTCATTCAGCACAACACTCTCTAGGTCCCTCCACGTAGCAACAAATTTCATCACTTACCCGAGTCCAGGAATTCTTTCACATTGGCCTGTCATTCCAGCTATTAAATTGCTGTGATGCATCATCACTCCCTTAGGTCGACCAGTGGAGCCACTGGTATACATGACAATAGCCATATCTGAAGGAACTGGTCTGTTTGGAGGAACAGCCACTAAAAGAACAAAATACACCATTTTTAATTAATTGTGTGTGATGTTGGGAAATTGAACCTGGGCTCTCACACATGCTAGGCAAACACTTTACTGCTGAGCTGTATCCCTGGCCTTGATTATCCATGTAAATAAAACACAACGGTGCTTATTATATTTTGTTTATCCACATTGAGAATTTTAAACTTGATTTGGCACATTTCTTAAAATTTATGTTTGCTCCTTCCTCTCCACACATGATTGTGTACATGCAGTATTATTTAAACATTTTGAAAGCTTTAGAAAAATTAGAGGAGTAGTATTTTGTGTGAGCAACTCAGGCCTCAGTTTTCTTATCTCAAAAATGAGATGGGGGCCAGAGCTATAGTACAGCAGGTAGGGCATTTGCCTCACATGTAGCCAACCTGGATTCGATCCCCAGCATTCCATATGGTCACCGCATATTGCCAGGAGTCGACTATTCCTGAGTGTGAGCCATGAGGAACCGGTAAGCATTGCCCAGTGTGACCCAAAACCAAAAGATAAAAATGAGACAGTTGGATTAGATCAGTGGTTTCCAACCACTCATCCAGGATTAAAAAGGTTACAAACTACTAGACTAGATCATGTTTCCTAACCACATATGTAGAAATAAGAATTACCCATGGAACTTAAGTAAAATAATACCTCTGACCTCTGGTTCTAAATATTCTGATTTAGTATATCTGGGATGAATCGCATTCGTAAATACCTTGGATTGAACTTGATATTTTTCATCAAGAATTACTTGTATTTTATTTTATTTTATTTTTTTATGTAGGATTACTGCTATTTATTCTGCCACTGATTAGCTGATTGAATTGGGCATGAACTCCACCTTACTTTTTTTCATAATTTTATTCATTTATTTATTTTTCTTCTTATATTTATTTATTGAATCACTGTGGGAAAAGTTACTAAGATTTTAGGTTTAAGTCTCGGTCATAAAATGATCAAACACCTCTCCCTTCACCGGTACTCATTTTTCACCACCAAGAAGCCCAATATACCCCCCTCTCAACCCTCCCAATGCCTGTGAGGCAGATGATTTCCACTTAACTCTTCTCTACATTGATTACATTCATTATTTCGACAAAAGATGCACCATTATTATTTAGAATTTCCCCCCAACAATCAGAATTGCTGAAAAGGCATTGTGAAATACTTTGATTTCTATAGCTGGTTATGAGAATCATATATTGATTTTGGATTTCTGCAAAGAGCCAAATAATTACGATATTGGTTTCTGTGTGTCTAGTGTTATGGCTGTGCTGGAGAGCTGCTCGTGGGGGTCAGCTTGTGACCTCGGTAGGGCATGAAGGATGAGCCGGTATCGCCCCCTTCCCATGAGACTGCAGTTGCCCCGTCACTACCAGCTCATACCTGGCTTTCCAATAAGCTCTGAGGCGGCGGCCACCTTGCTGCCGGGGGGGGGGGGGGGGTGCGGAGGTAAAAAGATGGAAGGGAGCAACACCCTTTCCCTTCCGGGGAGGCATGCTGCCGTAGTTTAACACATGGTCCATTCACTTTTCTGCCGCAAGCTGCCGGGCTCTGGATTAAGTCCTTTTGCCTCTGGAGCCATGGCCGTGCCAGAGAGCCGCTTGTGGGGGGCAACTTGTGACCTCGGTAGGGCGTGAAGGACGAGCCGGTACTGTCCCCCTTCCCATGAGACTGCAGTTGCCCCATCACCGCCGGCTCATACCTGGCTTTCCAATAAGCTCTGAGGTGGTAGCCACCTTGTATGTGGTCCAGACGCATTTCTGCCAAAAGCCGCTGGGTTTCGAGATTTGTTTCTGAGTCTCTGGGATCATGGCCATTAATCAGCTTGATCAGGAGCCAGAGAGGCCATTTGTAGGCGGTGACTTGGGGTCTTGCTGGGATGGATAGGAAAGGGCCGGTTCCACTCCATCTGGTGAAGCCCCGTGTGTCTCGTCACTGCAGGCCCAAACCTGACTGTCCAGTGGCCTCTGAAGGATGGTGGTCATTGGGCTGCCAAGGGGAGCAGGCCAAGGAACGAAACATATTCCCACCTGGAGTGGCCCAGTGCCAGTAACCTGCTGCAGGAACAGGACACATTTCTGCCAAAAGCCTTTGGGTTCCAAGATTCGTTTTTGAGACTCTGGGATCATGGCCATTAAGCAGTTCAATCAGGAACCAGAGAGGCCATGCCTCCAATAATATAGCTGAGCCAGAGGTGGTTTGTAGGTGTGTCTCCCATTTACCTAACTTTTGGCCATTTACTTTCTTGATAAACTTTGCCCCATGTTTTTGGAGTCTGGCCAAAGGCACAGCAGCAATTTTTAGGTATCTGAAAGTCTGACGCTGCCATCAGACTGCTGATGCATTTGCCTCACAGGTACAGATTGACCTGCTGGCGGCACCATACCCCCTACTTGTATTTTATTTTAAGCTTTGAAGCCATACGGTCTCTGCTGCAACTTCTCAACTCTGTTGTTACACTTTGGGGAGCAACAGGCGACTGTTAAATAGGTATTACTGTCTTGTTTGATTTTGGGGCCATACCTTTCAATGCTCATGGCTTACTCCTGGCTCTGCACTCAAGGATCACAACTGGTGGGGTCAGAGAACTAGGGAACAAATCCAGCTTGGCTGTGTGCACAGCATATGCTCTACCCGCTATACTAACACTCCAGCTCCATGTTTTAATCCAATTCCATTTCCAGAGGAACCGGAGCAATAGTACAATGCATAGGCTGCTTGTCTTACATTCAGCTAACCTGGGTTCGATTCCTAGAAGCAAACATGTTACTGAGCCCTGCCAAGGAGTGACCCCTGAGCACAGAGCCAGGATTAAGTACTAAGCACTGCTGGTGTGGCCCTGATACAAAAAATAAACAAAAAACAACTTTATTTTGAGCGATAGCACAGCGGGTTGGGCGTTTGCCTTGCACCGCAGCCAACATGGCTGACCCGAGTTCAATTCCTCCACCCCTCTTGGAGAGCCCGGCAAGCTATTGAGAGTGTCTCGCCTGCATGGCAAAGCCTGGCAAGCTACCCGTGATGTATTCGATATGCCAAACACAGTAACAAGTCTCACGATGGAGACGTTACTGGGCCCGCTCGAGAAAATCGATGAACAATGGGAGGACTGTGACCGTGACCATTTTGAGAAAAAGATAGTAGGCTATCATTTGCCAGTCTATGCCATTGAGTCATACTTCTCAAAAAGTCTATTGGGAGGACCTTCCTTCTCCCTAGTAATTTAAAAATGAACCCTTGTGAAAATAAATTACTGAGAACCTAAGATAAGACACAATATAGACTTTAAAACTTTTGGTAAAAAAAATGAGGGGTCAGAGCAACAGCATAGTTGATAAGGCGCTTGCCTTGCATGTGGCCTACTGGGATTCAATCACCACACCCCCATATGGTTCCTCAACCCTGCCAGGAGTGATCCCTGAGCACAGACCAGGAGTAAGCCCTGAGCACCACTAGGTGTGACCTATAACCAAAAAAAAAAGGAAAATAAATGAGGGCTAGAAGCATAAGAAACACAGTTAATTCCAACAGGTGCAACGGGTGGAGCACCTGCCTGACATGCAGGAGGTCCTGTGATCAAACCCCAGTTTGTTCTCCAGATGGATGGCTGCATGCCCCAACCCAGCATTATCCAGATTGCCCTGGTAACACCCAGAATTGCTAGGTGCTAACTACATCATAATGCTGGGCCTGGAAACCTCACCATCAGACACAGAAATACTGCTGGGAGTGGCTCTCAGGATCCTGACACTGCTGGAAAGACTTCCACTTCCAAAGAAATTACATTTAAGTAAATATAGTTAGAATACTCATGCATATGGAAAGGAATTGCACCGTAAGTGCTGCGACTTGAAAGTATCTTCTGAAAAGGCTCACAATTAAAGACATACCTTTTATGCATTCCATTTTAGTAACTCAACAAAAAAGTAAAGCTACTGTTCCCCATGCAGTCAACCTGGGCAACCCGGGTTTGATTCCTCTGCCCTCTCAGAGTGCCCGGCAAGCTTCTGAGTGTATCTTGCCTGCACAGCAAAGCCTGGCAAGCTACCCATGACATATTCAATATGCCAAACACAGTAACAAGTCTCACAATGGAGATGTTACTGGGCCAGCTCAAGCAAATTGATGAACAATGGGAGGACAGTGTTACAATGTAGTGCTACTGCTCCCCACTTATAAAATGCCTAGACACACAATCCACACACATGGATTTACATTAAGTGTGATTCTTGCTGTTAATTTTTAAATCTAGTTTGGATTGATAATAGTGCTGTCACTGTAACTGCCACTGTCCTCCCGTTGTTCGTTGATTTGCTCAAGCGGGCACAGTAACATTGTGAGACTTGTTACTGTGTTTGGCATATTGAATACGTCATGGGTAGCTCACCAGGCTTTGCAGCGCGGGTGAGATACTCTCAGTAGTTTGCCAGGCTCTCCGAGAGGGGCAGAGGAATCGAACCCGGCTTGGCCAGGCTGGCCACGTGCAAGGCAAATGCCCTACTGGGGTGCTATTGCTCCAGCTTCATCATTGTGAAGCAGAATAGTGCTACTAGCAATCAATGATGTATACCTAAACAGTTCCATTTTTTTAAAAAAAAAGTTACACTGAGCTATATAACTTTTGAAGAATATATATGCAGTGCACACAATTTGATGATTCTGTACATACAGAAACAACATTACCACAATGAGGGTAACAGATATATCTATCCCTTACATTTAGTTCCCTTGTTTGTTGTTGTTTTTCCACTTGATCTTTAAGATCATTTCAGTTCTGATATACTAAGATGTTGTTTTATTCTTATTTCATTTTTGGCCTTTGGAACACATCCAGTGGTGCTCAGGGCTTACTCCTGGCTCTGTACTCAGGTATCACTCCTGGCGGGCTCAGGGGATCATACAGGGTGCCAGGGATGGAACCCAGGTTGGCCACATGGATGGCAAGAGACCTGCCCACTGTTCTATTGCCCTATTACTAAGAAGTCATTTTAAAAAGCAGACTTTCAAGATAATTTATCCTAATCAAGTAGCCACCTTTCCTTCTTAGAATGTACCAAAATGAATATTCCACAGACATTCAAGTTAAAAATTTAATAAGACTGTTGGCTTCTTAAAACTAGTTCATACCACGTATGATATTTGAATGGTAGATACATACCACTATAATCTTGTCCACACTGATAACAATGAACACCACCAAGAGAAAACTCTTAACTCAACTATGAATTTGGGGTGTCCACAATGTGCCAGTGTAGGGCCTATAAATGTGTCTCATTCTTATGAAAGATGTTGATAATGGGAACAGAAGCATTGGGGGCTGGTATCTTTGGTGTGTATTCTAAAGACCTCTATAAAATAAACTGTTTTTGAAAATAAGTTCACAAAAATGAATTCTATTCTTACATACAAGCTAAAAGAAAAAATAAAATGAAACAGTGCGATTACCATTGAAGTCCCAAAAGAGAAAGCTATATTTAAACGGGCTAATGTTATGACTCTTTAAAGAGAGCTAATGTCACAGTTTATAAAATAAGCAAATAAGAAGTACATACTTCCTTTGATGATGAAAGGAAGCAACAGCAGCAGATAGGCTAAACTCTTCTCCATTTAAGTCCACAATATAGCACTTTTCCTTTTTCCTTTCATTTGGAGATAAACATGTATAAAGCATTATCAAAGTAGCAACTATATACAGGTTTCCTGTGTGCCCTCATTTGGAAGTAGAATGTTCTATTTGGCATGATTCGATAGGTTATTTCAGTTAGGGGAGGGGTATTTTATTGCAATGTCCAAAAGTTTTTCCATATAAATTAATGGTAACGGCATTCCCAGACTCTTTAAATATCCCACCAAATCATATCAAATAGGAACATTCTAATTTTCAAGAGTGGGAGAAACCTGTACTCAATTGAAGCATCAAAAATTATGTCTTATCTACTGTAGAGACATGTAGAACTAGGTGGAGCATGTTTGCCTATTATGTTATTGCTCACACAAGATTATAATGACTGATACACCCAGAGTTTTTGTGCCAACAACATTTGGTGAACCAGTAGAACTAGCAACAGAGTGAACAGGATTTCCTAGTCAAGTTTATTCCATAATGCAAGTCACCAGTTTCTGAGAGACAATTTTCCATGGTCTTTTATGATATTGAACAATAAAAAAAATTTTACTGGGCAGTCAAAGAGCAGGTATGCTTAATGCCTTTCCAAAAAGATTTGGGCTCCCTAAGCTCAGGTTTCCCCATTTTTGGGCACAGTTGCCATCATTCTCCCTCCCACTGCCCTATCTCTTGCCTGTAGTTTAGGGAAGCAACACAATGCTGATACTCTGGATACTGCTGCTGCCATCTCTGAACCAGCTGTCCTGTGTTTTCAAGAAACTGTGCAGGTTCACTCTTTTGCTTGCAAATAGGGGTAAACCTAAGTCTCTTAGCTTCTCTCCACACAAGGTACAGAATCATCATCCATACTAGAATATTGCAAACATGCATCAGTCTTGAGATTTGGTCAAATATCCCAAAGCCCGAGAGACTTAATCAACACTTTCTCCTGTAAAAGCAAATCCTTTCCTTATCTAGTAGAGAATTAGGACCTTCAAACTAACAGTGAGGAAAAAATCATTTAAAGGAACTATTTAGTTCCTTAACTCTATGTTTTGATGAGCAACCAACATTTTGCTAAAAGGTGCAGTTATATTTTTCATCTCATAAAATATGTATTTCCATATGGTGGAACTGCCAACTACCACCACAGTTGGTAGAAGAAATCCAAGCATTACTCTCCACAAACAGCTATGTATGTATCTTCTGAACTAAGATCACCAGCATTAGAGGGGGTGGAGCAATTGTACAGCAGCAAAGACATTTGTCTTGCACACAGGTGACCTGGATTTAATCCATGGCATCTCAAATGATTGACTAAGCACTGTCAGGAGTAATTCCTGAGTATAGACCCAAGAGTAACCGCTGAGCATTGCTGGGTACATACCTCTCAAAAAAGATCACTAGCCATTAGAAGCCAGACCAATAGTACAGTGGGTAGGGCACTTATCTTCCACTGGGCTGACCCTTGTTCAAACCCTGACACAACTTATGGTCCCCCAAGCCCCAGCAGAAGCAATCCCTAATCATAGAGCCAAGAAAAAGCCCTGGGCACCACTGGATGTGACTACCTCACACCCCCCACACAAAAAGATCACTAGCATTAAGCATTTCCTTTAAAGTTACTAAATAGAATGCATGAGATTTTTTTCCTTACAGGCGGTCTAAATGGAAAGGCTACATTAAGTTAAAGGAAGAAAATGCTTTGCCACAACTGTTATAATGTCTAAGTCATTGCATAACTTTCAATGATATAGGTACTTCTAAGCAGTGACTGGTAGTTTTGAGAAAAAGGGAAGGAAAAGCTTAATCATACATACATGCTGAAACCATTTCTAATGTCTTTAAATGGTTTAACCAAATAAATTTAGTTTTTGCTCACATCATGTTTCCTAACCAACTGAAGTACTAATTCCTGGGTAGATAAGTATATATTTTTTCAGTACTTCACTTACAGTTCTCGGGCTTGGATCCCAACTCTTCCACTGATTGCATGCTGTGGATCTCAAATCCTTCAGGATACTCTGCTTTATTGACAATTTTATTGTCCACATAAATGATGTGCTTAACAGATTTTATATCTGACAATGCTGTCTATGGAACAGAAAGAAAATCCTGTCATTCAATAATGACCTGAAATAAAACTCAATTATCGAACACTTTCTTCCCAGTCAGATAAAACAATTATAAATTAAAAAGAAAATTACCTACTTACCTTAAGTTTACTCTCTAGAAGTTCAACACTAGTAATCATGTATGTAGCTTCAGATTCATTTAACCCATGAACTACAGCATCTTTGCCAAGTGTGGCATATAAAGTCACAACTACATAATTTAAAAAGAAACAAGAAATATAAAAGTTAACTGCAACATTTCTGACATGTATTAACTAAATTAATCTTTTTTTTTGGGGGGGGGAGACTTTTTGAGTCACACTTGACAATGCACAGGGGTTACTCCTGACTCATGCACTCAGAAATTACTCCTGGCGGTGCTCGAGAGACCATATGGGATGCTGGAATCAAACCTGGGTTGAATGCGTGCAAGGCAAATGCTCTATCTGCTGTGCTATTACACCAGCCCCAACTAAGTTAATCTTTAATGATAAGGATACTCACAACGACATTTTATGAGTTTGAGTTTATAGTTTCTTTTACCCTTAAACCTTGCCTCAAAATTTCTAGGAGCACCCAAAGTTTCCTTACAAATTCTGATCTTTCTAGCTTTCTAAACCTGAAGGAAATAGAAAAAAACCCAAACAGAAATAACAGAAGTACCACCACAGGTTAAAAAAAAAAACCAAAAGAAAACTATTAACAGTTAAGATTTTTAAGGCCCTATAATCTTGCTGAATTATCTACTCAGGTCAGAGCTAACTAATCACCTAGGGCCAAACTGTGGCATACACTTTTACTGGTCCCAGGGCTATAGATTAGATAAATCCTTGAGAATCAAATTTTCGGGTTTTCAAGTTAGAAGATCAGTATTGAGTCACATTTTCGCTCCATGTAAGAAGTTTTTTTAGAGGGTTCAAGATACAAGCCTTAATTGGAAGGGCCAGGGTCTACACTAGACAGAGTTACCAGACAAAAGTAAAAAGCCCACATCCTTTAAAATTGAAGGATTTTATGCTTCAATGTGCTAAACTTAGATCAGCCTTGGAAATTCAGTTCTAAAATTGGTCATTCAAACGGAACTAGGTAAACAACTTTTCTTTCACAAGCTGCTGGATGATTAATACCTCAAAGATCATTTTCAAAGTATGCTTGTTTGAAATGCAAACTCTTGATTCCCATACTACACTGAAAATGTTCTGTTTTATTCATTAAAGAAGTAAATGCTTAATATATAACAATGCTATTCTTGTAATTTAATCTTTAAAATAAAAAAGAACCAAAAATAATAAAAGTAATTTCTATGACAAAAAATGCTAAAAATTCAGAAATACAACCATTTTTATTTTATGGCTGACACATCTACAGCAAGTTCAAACCGTCACATGACTATTTCACATGTAAAATGGAGTAAGTCAAGTAAAAGTAAATAAACTAGAATTATCTAAAGCAGTGAATTTTAGAAATTATTTTGTGTGTCATTTCCTAAACACATACCCCTCAATCCCAAATCTTACAGACACAATACACTATCCATTGAAAAGTAAAATTCTGAATTCTATGTATTAAGTTACCAATTTTCTCACTAGCTCTTGCTCTTAGAAGCAGCTATACTCTTAGAACTATAAGATTATATACTGTTTTATGGACATATTTTATGGAGAAAAAATTGCCCAAAGAACACCTTCACTGAATATTAAGAACTAAGGACAATTTGACACATGAACAAAGAGTTTCGCGTCCCCCCCCCCATATCACACTATAAATATAATGCACTTACGAGGAAAGTTGTACTTAAAGCAGGTCTGTGCTGCAATCATCCATTCAGCCCTGGTCTCACAGAAAATGGCAATGGTGCTCTTTGGTTTTAGTCCCAAGGCAGTGAGTCCACTACCAAAATTATTCACTCTGTGGTTCACTTCAAGATAGTTCATCCATTTATAGTTTCCAAGAATTAGCTGATAAGAGATTCCTTAATATTAGTATGTGTATTCTAACAAACAAAATATTATTTTGGGCCGGGGAAAAAACTCAACAGGGTGAGTATATGCTTTGCATGCCAGAGGCCCCTCCTTGATCCAAGGCAGTACTTTGTCCCCAAGCACCACCAGGAGTGACCCCTGAGCTTGTAAGAGTAGCCCTTGAGTACCACCAATTGAGACTCAAAAATAAAACCAAGAAAAAAAATCTTCAGAATACATTATTCCAAGTATATAACTAAAAAATGCTCATGAAGCCAGAGAGATAGCACAGAAGTTAAGGAGTTTGCCTTGCATGCACACCAGCCTGGGTTTGATCCCCAATACCATACATGGTACTCTGAACCCCCAAGGAGTGACCCTGAGAAAAGAACCAGAAGCCCTGAGCACTGCCAGTATTATCCCCAAAACAAACAAACAAACAAACAAAATTTTTTCAATTTAAATAGGGCTAGATATGGGCAGGGGTGGAGGGATGGGTACTCGATCACTCTATAACTGAAACCCAAGCACAAAAATTGTAAGTCTACAACTGTACCTCATGTTGTTTCACTATTAAAAAATTAAAAATAAATAAATAAATAGGGCTATATAGATACTACAGTGGATAAGGTGCTTGCCATGCATGCAATTGACCCAGATTTGACCCTGGGCACCCCATACAGTCCTCTGAAAAATGCCAGGTGTGATCTCTAAGCAAAGAGCCTGGAGAAAGCCCTGAGCACCACTGGGTAGCACCGTAGCACTGTCCTCCAGTTGTTCATCGATTTGCTTGAGCGGGCACCAGTAACGTCTCACAACAAATTGTGAGTCTTGTTGTTACTGTTTTTGGAAATACATCACGGTAGCTTGTCAGGCTTTGCCATGCAAGCGAGATACTCTCGGTAGCTTGCCAGGCTCTTGGAAAGGGGTGGAAGAATTGAACCCAGGTTGGCCGTGTGCAAGGCAAATGACCCACCTGCTGTGCTAATGCTCTAGCCCCCACCACTGGATAAATGCTGTTAAGTGAATATACAGAAGTTATGAGCACATTCTGAGTTTAAAGAGGGTATTTTGTATTGAGTACACGGTACTATACTTGAGTTATGATAACATGTAGTTCCCCTTAGAAAAAATAAGCCTAAAGATGCTCTTACCTTCTTAAAAACCTTTCCATTTGGTTGCATTTCATTTTCTTCACTTAGGACTTCCCTGGTCCCGAGGCTATCCTTCTTCCCAAACTTGGAAACAGCATGATCAAATAATTTATCCAGAGTGTCAGCTCCAGGGATGTCTATGACAGCTAGCGAGTCGAAGTGTGTGACAGAGCGATATGGACTTCCAGGTTTGTCTGAAGTGGGCTTAGCTTTTATTCTCTTTGCCATAGCGTTTTTCTTCTTGGCATTGGTAAGAAAATACCATGGAATAAATATAAGGGCACTGTATATTGTTATTAACAAGTGGACAGGCAGCAAAATAATGGTGAGTACATTTAGCTTAAGTTTCATAATGGCAAGCCTTCTGAAATGGTGTTTATTTCTTGTTATTCTTTGGCTTCAGAAAGCCTTATTTTGCTGAAGAAGGCAATAATGGAAGCAGCAGTAAAAGTAGTAGCAGTATAGCCAAGGCAGTTCAATTTTAATGATACAGATAAAAGTTAGTAATCTTTGGAAGCCGACAATAAAGTACACCTGTAGGCGAAGATAATGAACCAGGCAGAGAGCAGGAAACAAAACAAAACAAAACAAGAGTATTAACAAGTTGATAGCACCACTTGATTTAAATATTAATGTCCTTATTAGTTTAAATAATTGATTTGTTATAGAAAGATGAAATAACTGGTCTGAAAAGATGATTTTTAAAAATAATTCATTATTGCCATAACTTAAATTTGTTTTTCTGAGTTTTAGGTGTTGTGGCACTCTGTACAACATTCAGTAAGTCAGCTGAGTAACATCATTTTGCAGCCTACATTAATGCACTAAATAATCATGACATTTAAGTCTAGCTAAACTTTGGGAGACAATGACAATAATGAGGCATCTTTTAAATACTTATATGTAAATCACACTTATTCCAAAGCAGGAGTGTTTGGAATCATGCACAGCAAAGCTCAAGGGACACTCTCAGATCAGTGCTTGGAGATCCAATACCAAAGATTAAACCAGAAGCTTCCACGTGCCACGTATATGCTTGAACCCTTTAAGATCCAAAACAAGTAATTTTAAATAGGAGTACATTTTGGATCCAAAAGGAAAATAAATCCACTAATTAAGATTTATTTCTCAATGATCAACTCAGATCTTTGAGATTACAACAATATATATAATATTTATAATAAACATCATTCTGAGTGCATTAAGGTAATTTCTGAAGCAATGGTATTCACTATCTCCTAGTTTCCAGGCTGAAATAACACAAGCATAAAATCATTCCCTAAGAGTGTGTTCAGTTTGTGTTCAAAACTGCACCAGCTTCCCAAGTGTAGTAGTAATCAAGTCCAAAATATCTTTAATATCTTAGGGCTAAGAAACAGTTAAAGGATCAATGTACATGAAAACATATGATTTATTCAGCACACAAGATCCAGTTTCTTTCAAAGATTTATGGGGGGAAGAGCTAATCCATTTATTCAAATAAACTTTTTTGCATATTTTCCATATACTAAACTAAAGTGGGGAACTAAACTAAAGCTAGAAAGATAGCTCAAAGAGCTGGAACATATGCCTTGCTTGGTGAAGCCTGGATTTGATCCTTGCTACCATATGGTTCCCTGAGCACTGCTGGAAATGACCTCCAAGTGCAGAGCTGTAAGCAACCCCTAAGTATCACTAGGTATGACCACCAAACTGAAGTGGAATTTTCTTGACTGCATCAGGGAATGGGAGTAACTAGAGTTCCATCCTGAGTTTCCCAGAACTCCCCTCCCAAAGTAACCACTGAAGTATTTGCAGAAACAAACAAATAAGCACAAAGATGTGCAATACAAACAATAAGTGTAACACAAATGAAGACATACAAAATGACCAAGATTAACTGAGGCTTTATGGAGATATGTCTTATGTTGCAGCTTGTACTGGGAACCTGGACATGATATTGGAAGGTACTGTGGGTAGGGGAATTATATGAACAAAGATAAGGAGCTAAGACTGAAAGGACTTTGGCAGAAGAAGGAACGACCAAAAAATGACACTAGTGTGATGAGGAGATAGCTTAATAGACTGCATGTGGGAGGTGCTGGTTCAATACCCAGTACTGTATGATTCCTCAAGTACCAAAGGCAGGGATTCCAGAGAATAAAGTGAGAAGAAGCTCCTGAGCAACACCTCTCACAAAAAAAATGACACAAGCTGGATTGGGATGCAGAATACACATTGGCTAATGAGGCTACAATAGTATACTATCTGACAAATTATGCAAAGTAGTTTGGATTTTATTAGACATATAACTGGATAGTAGCGCAGGTCAGAAAACCAGTGATGATTAGAAAATAACTGAGGCAACAGCCTCTGGAATAACCAATTTTGAGGAGCTTGACTTTAGCTGAGAAAGCTATTTTGAAGAGTGGCAGAATATTGGCTCACTTGAAAAAGACTCAAATTGAATCAACAGAATCAACTGAAGTGCTACTCTTGTGAAAATTAACTGTTCAACTTAACTCAATTGAACCCAGGCTAGTAGTTTGTTTCACAAAAAATGGTAGTTTAATTATGTCCCTACATTTGTTCATGTCCTTCAGCTATGTGTGGGAAAATAGGCTACAGAGAAAAATATCTGAGTTTCAATCCTTATGACTGGCAGTAACTAGCTGTGTAATCTTGAGTGAAAACCATGTGTCTGAGTTTAAGATCAGAACAGATAAGTAGTACATGGGGGCCAGGGAACTGAGCCCAGGACTTGCTGTATAACGCAAGTGCTCTACTCTTAAAAATGCATCCTAGACCATAGATAAGTAGCCTTGAACTTCTTAGCGGTGATGGGCCCTTTTGAAAATCCAAATGATCCTCAAAATTCCCAAATTCCTGGGGATTCATGAACTTCTTGAAATTGATATACAAAGCACAAAGGATAACCCTTAACTAAGAAATTAGATCCTACATAAAAACTGCTTTTCTAATAAGTCAGGTCATAATCGTCTTCAAAATAAAGTATATTAAGTGTCTATCACACACTGCCTAGTTTTGTTATGCAAAACCCTCTATAATAGTCCTCTCCTCCACACAATTCATGACTACTCAGATCCACAATAGTATTCACTTTTTTCATTTGTTGGTGGTTTTTATGGGGGAGTAGACTGAGGCATTCCTTGTGATGCTCAGGTGTTATTCCTGTCTCTGTATTCAGAGATCGCTCCTGGGAAGCTCAGAGGACCATACGGGATGCCAGAGATTAAACCTGGGTCAGCCACATGCAAAGCAAGTGCCTTACCCACTAACCTATTACTTCAGCCCCAATATTCACTTTTTTCTAATTTTCTACATCACTTAAAGTGTCTACCATTCATTCTGATTTGTGATTTTATCATCTTCAAATATGTAAGTAGCTACAGAGAGAACAGACCAGTAGTCCTCAACACTACCAAACCAAGCAACATTTGTATTTATATTTTGTAATATTCCTTTATAAATATAAAAGGATAATCACAGATTATAACCTACAAACAAATATTTTTTCAAACAAATATTTTAAAATGATTTCTTACTGATATTATGGAATCCCAAAGGGAAAATAATACAAACAAAATAATACTTGTTGCAACATATAAATTCTTATGGATGATACTAGAAGACAAGAAAAGAAGTTTCCATTTTGATAAAATGTCACTGAAAATCTGTAACCTGTCCTCAACTGAAAAACTGTCAGACTTGGTCTTGATGATCTACAAAAAGATATATAAGACAGCTCTTGAAGAGAATACTCTCAATGGACCTTAAACTGCATTAGGGAGGGGAGCTAGGTTAATTTGTCTGAGCCAAATGGAAGGACCAGGTTTATTTACTCACAGTACATGGGATCCCCCAGGGTATTACTGGTTGCCAGCAACAACAAGGAGTAACCCCTGAGCAGCACTTGAGTGTGGCCCCAAATCCAGTGTTTAAATAACTTATAAAACTTGGTTGTTTAAAGCAACCGATGCTGGCGTGGATGTGGCGAGAAAGGGACACTCCTTCACTGTTGGTGGGAATGTCCACTGGTTCAGCCCTTCTGGAAAACAGTATGGACGATTCTCAAAAAATTAGAAATTGAGCTCCCGTTTGACCCAGCAATACCACTCCTGGGAATATATCCCCGAGAGGCAAAAATGTATAGTCGAAGTGACATCTGCACTTGTTTGTTCATTGCAGCCCTCTTTACAATAGCCAGAAACTGGAAGAAACCTGAATGCCCAAGAACAGATGACTGGTTAAAGAAACTTTGGTACATCTACACAATGGAGTACTATGTAGCTCTTAGAAAAGATGAAGTCATGAAATTTACATACAAGTGGTACAATATGGAAAGTATCATGCTAAGCGAAATGAGTCAGAAAGAGAGGGATAGACATAGAAAGATTGCATTCATCTGGGGGATATAAAGTAACAAAGTATGAGATTAATACCCAAGAATAGCTGAGATCAGCACCAGGAGGATTACTCCATAACTTAGAGGCCAGCCGGGTATCCTAGAGGAAAGGGCTATTCAGATAGAGAAGGGAGCACCAAATAAAGGATGTTTGGAGGATCCTCCCAGGAGGGGAGATGCATGTCGAAAGTAGACTATGGACTGAACATGTTTGCCACTCAATGCCTGTTTTGCAGACCACAACACCCAAAAGGAGAGAGAGGACACAGGGGATTGCCCTGCCACAGAGACGGGGGGATGGGGGGATGGGGGTGGGAGGGATATTATCCATGGTGGTGGAAAATGGGCACTGGTGGAGGGATGGGTATCTGATCATTGTATAATTGAAACCAAAGCACAAAAAATTGTAAATCTACAACTTTAAAAAAATAAAATAAAATAAAGGGGGAAAATAAATAAATAAAAAAAAAAAACTTGGTTGTTTGTATTTTAGTCATTCATGTTACTATATATACAATCTTTTATACACTGTTTTGAAGGTAGGCAAGTATTTTATAATTACTCTATTACACACAGTATATGTCAACACACACAGTAGAAAAGGCTCACAGAGCATTCTAGTAAGGAAATAGAAGAATAATTTACTTTAGAGGTTTTCAAATTCTATCTGGTGGTGGTGAGAAGGACACGGGATCGGCCATCTGGATTGAATCTTGTTTCTTCCCCTTTTTACAGGGTAGGGGTGCTCAGGGGTTACACCTGGCAAATAAGGTGCCGGGGACTGAATCCAGGTCCATTCCATGCAACTGTTGAACACACTGTACTATCTCTCTGGCCCCCGGGGCCCTGGATAAAATCTTGTATGGACATGAAAACACAAGTAGAGGTGAAAGCAAAGAATAAACTTTGCTCTGCAAGCTCTGAGAACTCCTGAAAAGACTCCTGGGCACTGGCAGATAAGCTGAACACTGATAGATATGTCTGACCTCTCTCTCATCCCACAGAAAAGCCAGCTATTGACAACACTGCCCAGGTCTGTTCCCAACTTGTCTCTTCCCAAGGCAGTGGACAGTGACCATCTTCAAATCTGTCCTTTTGAAAGATCTGCTAGAGTTACATTCATGTTATT